ATATGGGTAAAAAATGAAAAAACAATCATCTTTTCTCTTTACCGATTTTCGAAATTTCGAGCAATAACTGCTTTTCTGAACATTTTTTGGAAAAAATGTCAAATTTGACAGGGAAGAAAAATCACTTGATCGGTCATATGCATGTCATTTGGCATCATTTTCAAAGCACAACCTTATGGAGATATCAAAAGTTGCTTGAAGAGATGAACAAAAAAAAAATCCCATTTGATGCGGACTTTATGTGTGACACTGTATATAAAACTTACCAAAATGTGTTCAACATGTTGAGGACACATCCATCTTCCTGAAGGTGGATTAGTTAAGGGTGGATCCAAACAATCTAGGTGATAGAACAGCTCACAAAAATCGCATGATATCAACGGCGCCACCCGACAAGATTTTCTGCATTCGCTGCACTTTTTTGAAGGTAATGGTATTATTCCGCTCGGTCCTTTCTGATGATCTTTCGACACCTTATTATTTTTTCTGCCCACTTTGGAGTACGGAATTTCCACTGAAAAAAATCAAGAGGTTATTCGAAATAACTGTTCTAAAAGACTTTTTTGAGTAGTAGAGTAGTCAACACATCATGTATCAGTACTCTACCAAGACCTAGGTACCTGGTGTCAAAATGTCTTTGAACCTCTTCAGTACCAATATTTGGTTCTATATACATACATCTGCTGATGGCCGGAAATTCTAATAGCAGAGAATTTTTGCTTCTAAGACTACGGAACCTATGTATTGCCACTTTCAGTATGTTTGTTCAAATATTCTATTAGATGAAATTCCAACAGAGGAACGTTTCATTGGCAGTGGGGTTCCACAAGGTTCCGTGTTGGGACCGGTGTTGTTTCTCATTTATGTCAATGACTTAGTCCATGTTGACATAAGTGGTAAATTCACATGTTTTGCTGACGACACCACTATCCTCTGGCATAGCAATACCGCCTCAATTTACTTGATCAAATCATTGTCGACATAAGATCATCATCATTCAACATCGATAAAACAAATGTGATCACGTTTAGATGTGACATAGGGGAAGTAGAATTGGAAAATGTAAAAATTGAAAATTTGGAGAAAAACAAATTTTTAGGGCTCTTCATTGATGAAAATCTAAAATTTGATTCCCATGTCGACTACTTATGTAAAAGACAAGCAGCAGGATGTCATGCAGTAAGAGTTGTTGCAATAGAGTTAGACACTACTGTCACAAGATCAGTTTATTTTGCACAAATTGAGTCCTATTTACGTTATGGAATCTGTTTCTGGGGAAATTGTACAAAATTTCGTTTCAATATGGTATTCTTTCTACAAAAAAGATCCATCAGACATTTATGCAAACTAGCTACAGGAATTCATGCCGCCCATTATTTGTGACGCAGAAAATTTTGACCTTTGTTATGTCTTTTCATTTTGGAAACAGTGTGTCTTATCCACAAAAAATATAAAAATCAATTTAATAACACCTCAACTTATAGTACACGTCAGACTGACTCAGTCTTAACCGATCATCAACATGGTTTTAGAAAAGCTAGATCAGTTGAGACTGCTATTGCTAAAAAATTCGAGTTTATTTACAATGAAATCGATAAGCGGAAGTACGTAGTTTCAATATTATTTGACTTGGCTAAGGCGTTTGATTCAGTAAATAGTGACATAATGGTTAGTNCTCCCAAATATATGGGAATAAAATTATTCAATCGGTTACCAGACCATTTCAAACAGATGAACACTGTAGCATTTAAAAAAGCAGTTAAAACATTGCTTCTTTCTAAGGCCTACTATAGTATTGGCGAATTTCTCTCGGACCATCTCGACTGAATGGGTTCATGCGGCTTTGGCATGACATATTCAATTTTTATAACTACAATTGTTTTAATTTTTGTAATTCTGACTTATTTGTATAAATTTTTATTGTATTATTTTTATCTACTGATCTACAATTTTATCGTTTGATGTGATTTTTATGTGCTTAATACTGACCTATCCTATACGTTTGTCAACGTCTTTGAGGATGAATAAATATTATTATTATTATTATTATTAATTAAATCGAAGCATGCACCAGCCGGTATAAAGAGGAAAAAACAGAAAATAAGCACAGTTCCAATTCTAACCTAACCTAATATTGGTTTCCTCTCAATATAATTCTCATTCCTCTATTTTGTAGTTTTTGTAGTTGTGCCTGTTTGTTCAAGTTGAAGGAGTATAAAATCGAAGCACAATAATCAAAACGTAGTTGTATAATTGTTTTATGAAGTAATATTTAGTTAGTTATTGAGCTCTTTGCCTACATTCTTCGCAGACCTGTGTTCACAAGCGGCTCCAATAGCTGCATTCTGGGCCCAGAAGAAAGGCAAGCTGAAAAAGGTCGAGGTGAGTCGAGTTTTGTTCTTTTCAAACAGTTCGCATTTACGTGGACTGTTGAAAAAATCAGGTGAATGTTCAAACTTCTCAAGCTACATGCATTCGATTAGTGATTAATTAGAATGTTTAGTTTCTTGGTGAGAGGCATAAAAGATAGGTGTATTTTACGTGTTCGGCGATTTATTGTTATCAATCAAAAATGTTCTTTATTGTCAAAGAAAAAAAAAATTCTTATTGGCAAAGCATAAATAAACAAAATAAATCAGTCAATTTATAGTAAATTGTTAAGAAGGTAGCTGAATGACTTTTAAAATTAGGCATCACTAATCCCCCTTTTTCTATTATGATTTTAGAGGGTTTATGTTTTTTAATTGAAAAATAGTCTACAAAATGCCTCCTTTGAAAATGAGTTTCTGTTTTTGCATATTTTTAGATGTTATATTTGATCACAAGGGGTACATTGCCATAGTGCTTCCCACCCTTAAGGGTTTTGAAGCATATGTATAATGGAGAAAAATTTTTGTTAAGAGTTACAATTTTAGGAGAAATCTACTTACTTTCCTAATTTTTGTAGTAAAATTGATTTTCAGTATTTCTCGAAAACAATCAATTTATTAACTACTGACCTTTATCAGTTCCTGGAAATAAACAAGGAAAGCTCATATTTCTTGGCAACTCAAATTGTTTAGGATTCATAGCAGTAGCAGCTTCTATCAAAATCTCCATGGGACTAATTTTTGGTTTCTTTGCTATTTTTGAAGAAGCGGCCGGAGTATTATTTGATCTCTTGTTAGGTAACTTCAAAACTGAAGTTTCTTTGTTTGTTGCATGAATGCAAGAGTGACAGAGCCATTCACCACTTGGGATATCTTGTGCTTCCAATGGAGGATCACTAAAAACAAAAGCATTGATCAAGTTTGTAGCCAGAAATAATATTAAGAAGTTAGTTCTAACCATGTTGAAATTTATAGTAATCACAACAGAAAATGCAAAAAAAATCAGAGCCTCCAAAACAACAAATTGCAAACACTGCTCATTTAACCCAGACCTGAAAAAAATCTTGTGGAAAAATCTAAATTTCATGTAGTAAATATTATCTGACTAAATGAATATCTTCATCAAGGAATCTGATTATATGGAATTCATCTTTTACAAATTGACAAAGCACTCCAACTTGAAGATGATATAATTTTAAAAATCTTGATATCTCAACAAAAATTCATTCTACAAAGTGCACCTTTTTGTAGTAAAATGTGATAAATGACCTTAATTTATTGATATTTTTTTTATTCAAATTGTATTTGAGGAAAAACCTCTTTGCCTTCCTATATTTTCAATAAAATATATTAGGATGTTTCAAAAGTTTTGTCAGTTTTAATGTTATGTATAGCTACTTATCTCAATATACAGGGTCCTGCAACAGTGGCGCGGTGTTCCATATCTCTATTTAGGAAACAGATAGAAACCTAANATAAATAATAATTTTAATTTTTTATCTTCGAATGGTTAATTCCATTCTTTTCCATCAATGAAAAAAAAAGAATTGATGATAAACTGCATGTATGTGTCGATAGTATGGAGAAACATTTTGATGTTCATGCTCTTGCCAAGACACGCAGCTTGATAAACGGAAAATATTACACAAATGATGAAAGTTAGGAATAGGGCACTCAGTAGGTTCAAAATAATGTGAATCAACTAGCACTGGATTTTATAAGGAAATGGGAAACTCCATTTCCAAAGCAATTTTAGGTGAAAATAACTGATTTCAACTATAGGTTTAGTGTATCTAACAAAAGACAATGCTGGAACAAGTGTAAATATTATAATAAAGTTATAATCGTGAAAGCTAAGGCTGATATTCTCCTGGAATTGCAAAATCATATGTTGATGCTCTACCTAAGTCTCTCCATCAGTTTGATGCCATGTCCTTTTACAAGAGTAATGTACTTTACTACACCAACTTTAAACTATCCCAGTCAAATAAAAACCAATGCAACTGGGTGTGATATTCTACATATCCATATGATTCTTTTATGGTGTCCAGCAATCCTTTCCTATTTTTATCACGCCTATATTAGCTTCACTTGTATGATTGTTTGTTTGTAACCCATTCCTTTGGACTCAATTTTGACTAACTTTAAACAAACAGATATATTTTAAACTTTGTACACTCATTATCCCGATCAGGATTAAATAATTTCCTCATACAACCTCTGTGTGAGCGCAAGTGAGACAACTGCACCGTCTGTGCATGCATCATATTAATTTTATATTAAAACAAATAGGCTTGAAATAGCAAGCAAATTAAAAAGTGGAAAATAAATGATAGTTTGTAAAATTAAAAAAAGCTATGATAGCAACACAAACTAAAAAATAATTCGAAACTAATTTAGGATTGTGTTCAACATTGATATTAAGTCCTATGGCTTGATATAACTGCTGACTTTTAAAAAGTCTGAAATCAGAACAAATCTATTCACAAAAAAATTAATTTTATTGTAAAAAAAGCGTGGGGTGCCAATCTGGCAAGCAGCTGCTAAAAAAGTAATTATAACAATGGATTTCTTCAGCACCCCACGCTTTTTACAATACTGCACTGACACCTGTTGGATATAATCCAACGCCCTTCGCGGTATTAGCCAGGGGAGTAGTTGTTTTCTGATAGGCGTCAGTCCATTTAACCTACTGATAGATAGATAGATAAATAGTGTGATAGATAGATAGATAGTGAATAAAAAGAGTGATGGGGCAAAAACTTCTTTAGGTCGGATTTGAAAATTTTTTGCAAATGTTATGCATTCAGGAAGCAGGTTATAAAAGTAGCCTCCAGCATACAGGGGAGATTTTGTGTACCATGTTTTGTTAAATTGATTTAGGTGTATTTGTTTTTATATCTAGTATCGTGCTCGTGAAGATCGCTATTTTTTGTAAATTTATCTTTATTATTATAAAAATGAGTCTTATAAATCGTTTTTGTAAAATGAACACTCGTTATACTTCAGTTGACCTACCCCATGTAATGATATTACAGCTGATTGCCGTGTAGACAAGAGCGGAATACATGTTAATCAAGTGGTTTCTATGAAAGTTCGATTTGAGACTAGTAAAAGCATAATACAGTTTATTAAGTTTTTTACATATGTTATCAATTTGGTTGTTGAAGGTTAATTTGTAATCCAGCTCCATGCCAAGGAATTTTGTGCTTTCTGATGCTAAGATATCAGTGTGGCCTAAGTTGAACTTCATGTTGTTGAATTGTTTTTGAGGACTACTGAATTGGATAAGGACCATTTTTTCCATATTATTAATGGGGTGATTTCTCTCACACCATTGAGTGAAGTTCTTCACTACTAGTTGTATATCATTCATCAAGTCAAATGTATCGTTAGCATGTTGAATCATCTGCATAAATGAAGACCTGTCCTTTGTTAATATGGAGAGGTGGGTCATTGATATACAATAAAAACAGCAAAGGACCCAATACTCCACCTTGAGGAGTCCCAAGGGAAATATTGTTTCCCTCTGAAAGTTCTTTATTGACCTCAACTTTTAGGGTTCTGCCGGTCATGTATGATAAGATGAAAGATTGTATGGGATCTCGAATGCCCATTGCTTCTAATTTTATCTTCAAGAAGTATGGATTAATGGTGTCAAAGGCGCGGGTGAGGTCAAAGAAAAGTCTTACTACATATTTATTTTTATCGATATTTTCATAGATATACTGAATCATATGTGTTGATGCGGTCTCAATGGAGTAGTTGGGTCGGAAACCGTGCTGACAAGGGGTTAATATTTTTCTATGCTCTAGGTAATTTATCAATTGATTGTACACAGCTGTTTAGGTATATTGTGTTGTAAATTAGATTTCTACGGAGTGAGAGGTGTCTGCCTGGACATGATGAAGTCATACCTTAACGAAAGATATCAAATTGTTGATCTAGGAAATACCAAAAGTGAAAAAAGAAAAATATTAATAGGAGTGCCACAAGGGTCAATATTGGGGCCACTTGTGTTTCTAATATATATCAACGACCTACCTCACGTGATGAACTCGTCAGGCATAGAAACTATATTGTATGCAGATGATGCAACCTTGGGCAAAAAAATATATAAAATAGATCATCCTCGTATGATCCATACTGACATATTAGAGAAAGCTCGATCATGGTTCCAACCAAATGACTTGATTCTCAATGAACAAAAAACAGAAACTCTAACTTTTGAAACAATTTGCTTAAATCGAGATAACAAAAATTCTACCAAATTTTTGGGAGTACAAATAGATTCCAACCTGAAATGGATAGACCACATAAATAACATTACAGCATTCCCATGAGAGCAACTCCGGATTGCTGAGAGGCTAGTAGGGGGTGCAATTTTCCACGAAGAAATCGACAATATAGGGTTCATAGAGCATGCCGAATACTGTTGTTCCATGTGAAAATATCTTCAGCTACAATACTTCTTCAGAAGATACAATTTTTTTAATCAAAATGATGGAAGAGATTTCAGAAAGGTCACTTTCAGTGACAAAATCGAGGACCATATAGATGTTAATGAACAAGCCAAATACCATTGTATTATGTAAAATATCAACAGCAAAGTTATTTATTCAAATTACATGCTTTTTTTTCAATAGAAATGATATAAAGGTTGTAGGGAAGTTTTCCACTACAAAATCGAGACTACATTACTACATTATATCCCTACTAATATTATAAATGCGAATGTAAGTTTTTGTTATGGTTTCACGCGAAACCTACTCAACCGATCATCATGAAATTTTTTACACATGTTCTTGGAGGTATTAGAAGTATCATAGGATACTTTTTTATAAAAAAATTTCAATAACTGTTAATAAAAAAATATTGTAACTATTTGTATGAAATGGTCTGTCACAAAACTCAATGTGACAAACCAAATCCTACGCAAGCGAAGCCGCGGGTAATAGCTACTATTAGTTATAAAACATGCTGAATGCTATTGTTACATGCAAAAATGCCTTTTTCCGATCATGATTGTTTCAACTGATACTAATTTCAAGTATTGAAAATTTCACAAAAAAAATAATTGTCTGTGTAGGAACCTGGAGTAGCAAAAGTTTCATCTACTACCACCGCACTCATTATCAGTAGTATGTGCGTTGACTGTGAGGACGAAGATTATATTTCAAAAAAAGTCTCAGCTAGGACTGTGGCGATGAGATGCAAGAATATATATTTTTTCATTCACAGGTGGAGGTGAAATTATATTTTCTTTACTGATTTCGTAGCAGGCATTAAATGTCCTAAAAGGCAAATTTTCATGGTTAGCCATGATTTTCCATATGGCGCCTTGGCACACTCTTTTAGGTTAGCAATATATTCACCCAATTCATGGCTTTAGCCCATGGCATCCTTCACACAGGTAATTTGGCAAGTATAATGGTGGATATTTGAGTACAATTATTTTTGAAGTACTTACTGACACCCCAAGTGGAAACTAGAGGGACATTTATCACAGCAAATCAAGTCACCACCTTCACCACAGGCATCACAACTATCATGATTATGTCCCTTTCCTGGTCTTCTGAAGTATGGATGCTCAGAGACAGATTTCTTGACCTTTTCTTTTGTTTCATCTCCCTGAGGTGGAGCAATCAATGCTTGTATTTGCTTGAATAAAATACTGAAGGTTAATTCACTACAATTGAAATGTATATCATCGTTTCAAATATGAAACTGTTCAATACTGATTTTATGTGAAATGCAAATGAAGCTTTGACAAAAGGATACTTTTGACCTTCTCTGGCCTAATAAACTTTTTTTAGGTAGGGAGGGTATTGTAGAACTAATGGAAATTAATCTTTCAAACAGGGTCTACACTTTTAAAATTGATTATATTTGAAAATATAAATAAAAAGGACTCTCCGCCATTTTATAGCATTAATTTTTTAAGCAAAAAACAAAAGACACTCCACTCACTTCCATAAGGCCCCCGGAGGTGTCTAGGTCATATTCAATCGTAGTCATTTTGAGGATTTTATTATGTATTAGGATGGTTTTCTTGAGATAACTGGAAATACTTCTCAAGTTTAAATTTTTCTATATAGTCTCTAGATAATTTTTTGTAAATACACTAACTAAACTACCTATAATCACTAAACTCAATGAACTATACACTGGCATTCTTCCACAAATAAATATAAAGTGAGTATTCTATTTTATTTCCAAATATACATATATATTGTATTTCATTTATGATTTATTTACAACAAAATATCCGTTTGACGTATCACATACTTGGCGCCGCTGTTGACTACACAGAGACAAATACTAAAACAGAACGAGAGTGAAGAAACAGGATAGAACACAAATCTGCATAATATAGTGTCACTTTTCTTCCACATATCGGTGGCTCGACGTTATGAAAGCGTACTATACTATTTTTTCACAATTCACATTTACAACTATGAATCAACAGTTATCAATCTGAATTTAAACTCATAAGTGTGAATTTGTAATCATAAGTGTAAATAATAATAACAGATTTTTGTGGCCGTTCTTCTCTTTCTCGGATCACCTCCCGTTATCAAGGGAAGAATAAGATTCAGGACAAACGAGGAAAAACAAAATGAAAAATATAGGGAAAGCTCAATAGGAACCCTGATAAAAAAAACTAATAAATAGAGTTTATTCTATGATGAGTGAAAATAATAAACTCTATTTATTATTTTTTAAATATGGATTTTCATCAAGTATCGGCCAGTTCTATTCAATTAAGGAACCCTGATAATTGAACAGATTCACTTTTGTTTTGACAAAAACTCCCGATGCGACGCGAGAAATAAAATTTACCCAACTTTGTACACATATTGAAGGGTGAAACAAGAATCGAAACATTTCGTTTGTATTTTATTCATGGACTTTGATGTAGTAGAAGTTTTTCATCTGATATTAATTCGTTCCTAAATATAAATAACACTGAAATTTGAAGTACCAACTTGACATTATTAAACAGTGCCATTTTTCAACGCTGAAAATAATGGGATCTCTTTATTATTTCTTCATCGAGAGTGTTTTGGACGGAATATTTTGCATTGAAGAGAGGCCAAGTGATCACGCGAAGGATATTCTATGCATCTTGATATATTGACATTCGTAAAAAAAAATTCCGTAAGGATAAGGGATTAGTTCAGCCACTTTACTCACTTTATTTCCTCATTCTGTAGTGTCTCAAATAAATCACACAGATTATGACAGTATATATATTCAAAAGCAAATATTTTTGTGATTCGATGTTTAATTACATTGCATACGAAAGCAAATAATTTGGAAATCATCCTAATGAGGAGATATGGTTTTGATTAGTTAACAATACAATTGGTTATGTTTGACCATTTTTCTGTGAATTTTACAGGTCCGGACTTCTAATGGGTAAAAAGTGTTGACCGATTTGAAATCTATGGAAAAAAAAATAAAATTGAAATTAATGAAATATCGAAACGTTATCAAAAAATAGGACCGAAATATACTGATAAGTTAGTTAAAACAGAAATTCTGTTGAAAATGAGATATCATTGACAAAATAGAATACCGGAAATTTGTGAAGAAAATAAATTATTGTAATCTGAAATTGAAATGTTGTTTTTAAGTGATTGGTGTCTGAAAAGTACCAAATATGCACCACTCTGGGGATTATGCTGAGTAAACGAATTCTTGATTTCACGAATTCAACGAATCCACCGAGTGATCTACACTTTAATATTATAATATTCTTATTTCTATCCAAACAACGATAATATCTATGGATTGAAAACGTTAGCGAGTTTATATGTGTTGAAGCAATCCATAGAAATCTGGTAAATTCAGGAACTCGCCTAATTGTTCTAATTGAATGGAAAAGCGGCAACGTTCCCTGTGGCACTCATGGAATATTTGACAGGTGAATTATTGGAAGGTTCTTGTTTTTAAACAAATTGTTCAGATTTATCAATGAGAAATTTCATTAATGCTTGAAAAATAAAAAATTAAGCAAGACATTAGTAATGGCTAGAGATTATGATCATTTATTCAAATTACTTATAATAGGGGACAGTGGTAAGTAAAATTGTGGGCGGGGTTTAATTAACGTTTTTGATAATGAAAATTCAACTTCCAGGTGTAGGTAAAAGTTCCTTACTACTCAGGTTCTCAGACAATACATTCACTGGAAGCTACATAACTACCATAGGAGTAGATTTCAAAATCAAAACCGTTGTTGTTAATGGACAAAAAGTTAAGCTACAAATATGGGATACTGCAGGCCAGGAAAGATTTAGAACCATTACCAGCACATACTATAGGGGTACACATGGTGTTATTGTTGTGTATGATGTAACCAATGGAGAGAGTTTCGCTAATGTTAAGAGGTGGCTTCACGAAATCGAACAGAACTGTGATCTAGTGAATAAAGTTTTAGGTAAGAAACCAAAATACGTACATAGGGTGCAAATGAAGTTTAAATCATTCATATCATTTTCTTATCATTGGAGAGCAGATACTTTTTTGAAAATGTATTTAGGGTTATTGACTTGTTATTTTCCTGACGGTAGGTGGTGATTAGTTTTATTAATTTTCATAAATACTATTTCCCACAACAGATTTGAGGCAATACAGATACTTTTTTATTACTACATCAAGTGTGTGATGGTACAGGCACTTCCCGACAGGCCCTGCATCAAGCAGAGTGAAATTGATACATATAATTTGGAACCTCTAGCATAAAATGAATCTATTGAAAAAACGTTTTTCTCACCAGAACAAAAACACTGTCTTTTTGCTTTTCGCATTATAGGAATCGCGTCAGAGACGCTCTGGTGAGGGAAGATTATTTTCAGTAGATAGCAATGTGAAGTTGGCAGTGGAAGATAGCTGCCAGAACATTCCTGACCATCCAGTGGTGTGCAAGTCTATTGTTCTATTATTTATTTTGAACTGGTAAATACATTTAAGAGAAAATGAATTATTAATTTAGGCTAGAGGCAATGCTAGAAACAAAGTCACTGATTTTGACGAGTTAATATTATTTTAAGTAAAAAAAATTATTACCAATCGATTTTGTTCTTTGTCCAAAGGATAAGTTAAAATCTATATATTCCGTAAGTATTCCAGAAAGAAATATAAGGTCTGATTTATTATAATAGCAACAGGGAGAAAATGAATATCATGAAATTGCCATAGATGTTGAAAGGTAGGTAGGTAGGTACCAACACTACCAATACATTCTTCCCGATGTTTTGGGAATATGGAGAATTCGAAAAACATAAAATTCTAGGTAGAATGTGGAACCTCTGGTGTAAAATAACTTAGTTTCAGTAATCTCCTGATTACTTGGTTAGCAAAATGTGCATCGAGAGATAGTGTTTCGTTCATGGTGTGGGAAAAGTTTTGAATAGAAATAATTGTATGCTAATTCTGTTCAGGCCTTGAAAAATAGATCTCGCTATGTTTGAGAGCAAAAATAATAAACAATATGAATGAAAACATGAAATATAGTCATATCAAGTAAACGCAGCATATAAAATCTGAATACCATGTAATCGTTGCTTGCTGAATTGGTTTGAGACTTAAATAATGAACTAGTCTGTGAATGAGAGCAAAAAAGCTAAATAATTTTTTTTTACTATATAGCGAGATGTGGCACAAATGCTATGTGCAATGCCTATAATACTGTACAAAATGACTGTTATATCTTCTTCCAAAATCTTGCTAGATTTAGAAATAGGTTGTATAAAATTGTATAACTCTTGTTGAATTTTTTTTACTTTTTTGTCATTTTGTTGTATGTACAAATCTATTTGTGATGATAACCTTTTCTACTCTGTAACTGGGCCATGACCTGTAGAGTTTGTATAAAATGAATGAAAATAAATGAAATACATTCAGATCAAATAAACGAAGCATGAATAATTTATGAAATTGTATAACTCTTGTTGAATTTTTTTTTTACTTTTTTGTCATTTTGTTGTATGTACAAATCTATTTGTGATGATAACCTTTCCTACTCTGTAACTGGGCCATGACCTGTAGAGTTTGTATAAAATGAATGAAAATAAATGAAATACATTCAGATCAAATAAACGAAGCATGAATAATCGAAAAATCATAAAGGGTTACTCGCTAATTCTATTTAGACCTTAAAAATAGATCAGGCCGTGCCTTTATTCTTATGGTCACAGATCATATGTAGGACTCCTGTTGGCTCTATCCATAACCGATGGCTCAAAAGTTATCAAAACCCGCCAATCATGGTGAGTCAGTGTAAGAATATAAATTAAATAGTAATAAACAGAAAACTGTTCATTACTATTAAATATTTGATATCCAAAAAAGATGAATAAATAAGTAGTAAAGCTTGGAGCTCATGTTTTGTGATATCTTGATGGTAAGAGTTATATTGTAAATTTATATTTTAATGTCGTTCCTACGATTTTTGTGCATAAGACAAACTGTCTCAAAAAGTAGTACACGAGCTAAAGACAAATATGTATGAGCTAAGGAGATTTCCCCAGATAATGCAGGCCTGCTACATGTTGAAATTTATTGACCATTGTAGGGTTATTTTCTTCGCTGCATTATTTCAAAGATTACAGACATAAGATGAAGCACTCAATTCATTCATACAATTACGACCTTATGTCACGAATGAGTTTAATCCACTCATGTCATCGATGGCAGTACTTAATGACATTCATCCGCTAATTTGACTTAATCCCAGCCATAAGAATCCTCTGATTGATTCGACCCTTACTTGATGAAGATCCATAGTAATTTCATAAACTACACCTCACGATTTGTGATCTTCATAAACTTTATTTACAAAATATCACGACGTGTTTCGCTGTAGTTTATGAAACATAAAAATCTTGTTTAAATTGAAATTTTTATCATTTCTCTATCGGTGAATGGTTTGCCACGTTTTCCGATTTCAAGAGCCACATGAAAGTTGGCGCGAGTTGCAGACTTTTGTTCAGTATTCGCTTTGGCAAACAAAGATTGCTGCGATTTGAGTCCGCGTTTCAAAGCTTCAAATTTTTCCTTCCGCAAACTTCCTGTATACTTGGAGTAACCTTGAAGATGTTTCGATTCATAGTGTTATAGACTTTTAGAACAGCTATGGTTTCATTACAAATTAAACATAGCGCCGTATTACTGGATTCAATCACAAAATACTGAAAGTTCCATTTTTCTTGGAACGTTCTGCATTCACTGTCGATTTTTCGCTTCTTTTCCATACTAACAAATCACACATAAAAACAATAAGTCAAATCAAAATACTTTTATNTAAGTCGAGTCTTGAAAATGTGTGTATTCTGTTTATTATTAAATAAAAATGTATATTTGTTGTGAAGAAAATTACTTTTCATTTTAATGCTGAGACTTTTCCGTTTTTGAAATATACCTGTTCCATTATTGTAATGAAAAAAATCAAACGTATTGTTTCACTGGTAGTTTTTCAAAGTGGCCTATTTTTTGACATAAAAACCAATCTAGTTATATTAGGAACTAGAATGAAATTAAGGATTCATTTTTAAGTATATTACATATACCCTGTTCAAAAAATGAGTTGAATTTTCATTCTTCTCAAAAAATTTAGATTTATTTATTTATTTCATTAGATGGTGTTCAACCCTTTACAATTACTAAATGTTACAAAGGATACGAGGCACAATGATTATACAACAAATAACTATCACTAACTAATAAAAAAAAGACCTAGTAATGCAAACTATTCAAGAGAACAGTGATTTGTACATCTTAAACCTCGTCTTGGATACACCGAAAGTTGTTCGTCAGTCTCAGAAGTCTTGATGGTGGACGGTCATTTTTATCAAGTCGGCTTTCTATTGAAGTTAAATGAGATAGTTTCTGATTTCAGAATAGGTAAAATCCTCTGATCGATGGTTGTAACCGATTATACTACATTACAAAATAGTAGGTGAGAAGGTTTTGGCTTTCTACAAGCAAGGCAAATATTTTATTTCGAAACATCGGATGTTCCACCATTGGGAAAAATAAGTGTTTCATCTAAATAAAATTTTACCTTTTTTTTATATACTGGATTGTTTCGACTTCTGAGGGTTGTCGAATTTTGATTTTTTTTTTTTAAATAAAACATGGCAAAATCGTTTGCCATCACGAAAAAGCTACTGTGATAGCGAAACATGTCGTGATATATTTTTGGAAATGAAGTTTGTGAAGATCGAATCGTAAGGCATAGTTTATGAAATTACTGTGGATCTTTATCAAGTAACGGCCGAATCAATCAGAAAAATATATTGTTTGTATTCCACTTCTCTTGAATAGTCAAATGTTTTAATATCAATCTTCTTTTTTTCAGTTGGAAATAAAAATGATACTCCGGAACGTAAGGTTGTTCTGACAGAAGATGCTCAACGTTTTGCTGACACTATGAACATTCAGTTGTTTGAAACGTCAGCAAAAGATAACATAAATGTAGAAGAAATGTTCCTTTCAATCACACGATTGGTGCTGAGATCAAAATTAGAATTGATAGAAAGGCAGAATGTAACGCAAAACGATACTGTCAATTTAAGAAAAACTAACAAGCAGGGTAAAAAGAATAAATGTTGTTAGCGGTGCAATTTTTTATTTCAAAAATCGTTCAGATTTTTTTGGGGGAATCATGACATATTTCGAAAAGTCTTACAACGATTCAAGTACCGGAAAAATATTTTAGGACACCCTGTACATAACCATAATGTGTAAATATATAAGAATATTTTAATTAACAAAAATAAAGAAGTTATTTTGATTGATTTGTAGAAGTTGTGCATCTATCAATGTACGTTGTAATGTTTTCAAGGTTTCCATAAAATATTTGATATTATTTCGGTCGGCACTTTAATTGGTAGGAATTGATTATATACTATCTAAATGAAAATTGATAGATGTGAAACTGCTGTTGTTGTAGTCAACCAGTAACAGGTTCAGCGTTTATATATGAAGTTTTTTGTTATGTGTTCCTAACATTCCATTAAAATAAAACCAGGTTGTTTTCTCTTGAATTTTTTATAAATAATACTTTTGAAGTATTCTATATTCCACCAGTTTTTTCATTAAATCTGCACTATGACCAAAAAATATAAGTATATAAATTCGGAACCTGTCGTTCATGTGACTGAACTCTCTGAAATATCCTGAGTTGAAACATACAACTACGAGTATGTTAAATTGCAGAAGTTTCCACAAATATGTACTAGAAAATTAATATTTTGAAATATCCATCTTCCAACTACGTACACCGTAGGTTCTTCCCTGGCTAATACCACGCTGAATATTTGAATGTGTTGAAAAATTCACAAGGCTTCTGAAAATATACCTTCGATTTTTTAATTCTTTCTCAAATATTTTGCCGAAGTAGTGAATGTTAATAATGAAAATAATCAATTAAGGAAACAATCATTTTTTGAAAAGATTGATTGTTTTCCCAATACTAAGTTCTTGTTATCAAAAACATATACTTTTAAATACCAATATTTTCAAAATTTTCCGATTTCAAAACACTTTTTCCTATTGTCACCAAAAAATCAGTCATGATTTTCAGAGAGCTCCTAACATTTACATGTTTCTACTTTTTATATTGAGTAAATTTTGTTTTTGAGTGATAGGAAAATATGTGTATTTGTACAAATAATTCGCAAATGTTGGTTCTCAGTTGTATAGTAACAGCAGCNATAAAATTTTACCTTTTTTTTATATACTGGATTGTTTTGCAATCTTCCTGTAATTCAATGTTTGTATGAAAGTAGTTGTTTCGAAAGAGCTTTTTCTTCCAATTTGTGTATGAAAGTTACTTCTTTGCATGATCTATACTTTGTAATGGATTAATTTTGAAATTTATAGCCCACATTTTTTGTATGAAGATGGACAAATAGAAGCCAAAATCTTTGAGTCTACTTGGTCTTGAAAAAAGATTTAAATTGATACATTTGCTGAAGATTACGAAAAATAGCATGTCGTTACTATAATTCCATATAGCAAATTGCCCAAAATTGACTAGTTTTTATCTTTGTATAAATATACAATGTTTTTATGCACCTTCATAATATTGGTATCCAATGAATGAAAGGGTTTGCTAAAAAGAGTAGGAAAAATAACGTGACGTCACTCGAATACGGCGGAGTGCCTAAGACGGTGAACTTGGTTTTTATGCACCCTCAATATATGGATATCAAATGAACTAGTGTGCTGAAAAAAATACGAAAACTAACATTACACCACTCTAAATCCAATATGGCGAGTCTCCTAGGATGGCGAACTAGTTTTTGTTTGCAACTTCATAATATGCGTTCCAAGAATGAAAGGCATTGGTGAAAAAATGAAAAAAATTAAATGACGTCATTCTAATTTCAAGATGGCAGCCGTGGTAATTTTAAAGGGTTCTAACTCGGTTAAGGGTAGAAATAGTTTGGTGGTGCTTGAACCAATATAGGGACCGACCATGCAACAAAGGTGCACCAAAGGAATGAACAGATTAAGGATTATCTCGAGCGATAACTGAAAAATAAATTAATAGTAAAAACAATTAAAAAATGTGTTTTATTAACGTATTCTAAAAAATAAAACTTCAAAATATAAATACACTGTTTCGCTGCGCGGTAGCTTCATATGTTGGTCCAGTGACTTCCTATATAGAAAGTTACTTGCAGCGAATCTTCCAAATGGAAGACGTTGCACAGGAGCTTATATGTTTTATGTCAGCTTTCTGCGTGGCATTAGCTCAGTTAGCTGTTGTTTTTCCGTCGGGTATCTGCCACACGGACCTATAAATTTGTAGGTTCCCATGAGAGGCGTGTGATGTTTTCACCTAAACTTGAGCATATAATATGCACGTTTCCGGAATATGTTCATTATTCTGACTCCCACTCCGGAGTATGAATTCGTGGAGTTGCTTCCGGACAATGTCACACACCATCAATTTATGATATGCGAAAAATTGACAATTGTCAAACATCACTTTCTTTTACTTCAATTCAGAAAAACATTGATGACAATCCAAAAATAGTATGCAAAAATTATCCTAATCACACCTAATAAGTTTCCGAACTATGTCGGTGACCAGAACAATCCTAACGAGTTTTCAGTCTGTCACTTTTCACTTTCGTAATAAATCTATTATTATTTTTTATCGAATTGTTATGCCGAATCACAATGTATTACGTTTTCGATTCGGTTGTTCTGTTTTTTTGCTACAGTTTACACAGTTCACCGTTTTCAAATAGTTTATGTGAACCTACCTGTTACTTATCAAGTCTAAGCCAAATACGTCTAGGTACTGAATTTCAAATTATCTAAATTTTGTTAACAAAAAAAAAGTGGCAACACTGGTCACTAGTCCCTAGTACAGAACACCCTAACTACTAACTAATTAGGAATTAGGGTGTTCTGTGTCCCTAGTACATGTTATACGAAATAGGAGGTTACGTGGCTCAAATCAAAACATAGTTCTGTTAAAAATTATTCGCAAACTATATAATGACTAGAATTACATATATTATATTATTGTTATATTTTTGTGTAAACCAATGCAAAGCTTATTTTATAACAGTCGATGCACATGCTGAAGAATGTTTCTTTGACAGAGTGGAGGCTGGCACAAAAATGGGTATGATCCTTTTCTATTTCCTTAGAGTTTGTTCTGATATCATAATTGAGAAGATTTTGTATTTAAGGCCTTACATTTGAGATAGCTGAAGGAGGCTTCTTAGATATAGATGTACGTATCATAGGACCAGATGGTAAAAATATATATCAAGGAGAGAGAGAAACGTCCGGAAAATATACCTTTGCTGCCCATACTAAGGGTGTTTATACTTATTGTTTCTCTAACAAAATGTCAACAATGACTCCCAAAGTTGTGATGTTCAACATGGCAGTTGGGGAATCTCCTAAATCAGAAACACAGGAAGGAGAAACAACAAATAAACTGGAAGAAATGATTAAAGAACTGAGTGGTAATATAATCTGAATAATATATGGAATAACACAAGATCCAACATCTTCTATCTCATGTTTTTTTGCAGGATCTCTCGGCGGAGTTAAACAGGAACAAGAGTATATGCAAGTTCGTGACCGTATTCATCGCAGCATCAACGAAAGTACCAATTCACGTGTTGTTATGTGGTCCTTTTTTGAAGCTCTTATTCTGGTAGCTATGACTGTAGGTCAAGTCTATTACCTCAAACGGTTTTTTGAAGTGCGACGAGTGGTATAATAATGAAAGAGGTCTGCTTTGGATCGTTCTCTATGTAATCTCGATATTCACTGTTGGTTTTGGAAATAATTTTAAAATCTTTCAAATTTCGGTCAGTTTCGAAAACTAGTACTTTATTATTCATCTAGTACTTCTGAAGATTCTTGTACATAAATAATTAACTTTTGATCATGAGATACACATATAAATATGAATCAAATCTTCATAATTGAATGTTTGAATATTGTGTTGGGTGTTCTGGATTTCAGTTTGTTAATTTTTGTATAATAAATTTCCCATATCAGGGTTTTTTTACTATTACTGCATATTTTCAAGAAAGTGTAACAGTCATAATTTATATCTCTACAAACTGCTAGTATTTATGAAAATGTATGGTGCCACATCTCCCATATTAGAGACTGTTCCATAAACTCTAGTCTTGTAATATTTGACTGTAACTGTAATTTAATAATATAACAGTGGCTAGGCTTCAGAACAGAGTGAAATTTTTATTTTCACATGTAGAATTATATTGCTATAATGATACTGTTGGTTTAATAATACAATTGCAATTTTTATCCCATCAGTTGATATATGTAGTTAGTTGAACATACTTTGCTAACGGCAAACATCTGTATGTTAAATCAATATGATATTGAAGAAATGAAAGTACAATTTGTACACCACATCCTATAAGAATGGTTCGTTTTCAGTAAGACTATTTTCCTTTTCAACATTTTCTATGTAGGTACAAATGTGTCGGCAGCAACCTTTTATCATTTTTGTAAATATGTATAGAATGTAAATAAGTGAAACATGTCCAAAAAAAACTTAAATTCTAACATTCCTCCTGGGAAGGGGCTTTTTGCTTTTTCAATTTGCCGGGGTTTTGTTTTTGAAGGACTGTATATGTACAGCTTTCCCAAGTTCCTTTTATAGCCCCGTTTGAAGAAAGTTGATAAGGATATCAGTCAAAATCTTATTTCCTTTGAGCTGCATTCATCTGAAATAATTTTTCATCAAGATTTTTGCATGCCTTGATTAACTTTTAATAAAGCTTCGATAAAATCAAGAATCATTTGGCCTCAAGGACAAAAACAACTCGAACAGTTTCAAAACATACCTGAACCCAATCCAGTTTACCACAGATTCGATACAGTATTCAAACTTACTTTGATTTCAATATATCATTACTAATAGTGACCCTTTGGCACGCCGCCATCGTTTTCTTCTTATATCAATTCAGCATCCCTTCCATCTCATTTAATATGACTTGGTGCTTTTCTGGCATGCCACCATGTTTTTTTCTGCCCTCTACGCTGACCTTATCATTCCTATACTCACATATTGCCGTCCACCTCACTCTTACACACTTCATCTGTTCATATATATAATGTGTCCTGTTTACATGCCGCCATATTTGTTTTTTCGCCATACCCCAAGCAGCCACCTTGTTTTTTTTCTTTTCTGAATTCTTCACAGTCAGTCGCACACATCTCACATTCATTTCGAGTTGGATGTTCTACAAGGTTCCATTCGGAGGTCAAAATTTTGTTGGAAAGTGCCAGAAGTTCCAGTTTTAGTAGAGAAATATAGTTTGTAATTTACAGAGTATTTTACAAAGGGCAAATTGTAACAACACTACCTTTCTAAATATATTTTATTCTCTAGACAGTTATTTACATTATCTTAAAATAAATCAACGATAGAGGTGATCTGCATGAATATTTGCAGCTATCTCTGACTCCCATTTATCACCATTATTCAATAACTTTTCCTTGTTGTAAAGCAATTCTTCGTGTGTCTCAGTAGAAAACTCAAAATTAGGACCTTCCACAATCGCATCTACTGGACAAGCTTCCTGGCAAAAACCACAATAAATGCATTTGGTCATATCAATGTCATAGCGGGTGGTACGTCTTGAACCATCTGCACGTTCTTCTGCTTCAATTGTGATTGCCTGATAAAAAAAAGAATTAGAAAACTGATATCCATAAAAAATATTACAAAAATTGTTTAGATCAATAAGTTCTGAGCATTAGAAATGAAATGAATTTTTGTTACTAAAGCAAAAATAATGTTTTGAAATGAATTTATATTTGAATGTTATCCAAAAATATATTTCATTTCATAATAAGGCTCATTGAAAATATTTTATTTTATATCCAGGCTGGATTTGGGAAGTCCTAACCATCTTGTACATACAATCAATAATCTTCTAGTCGACAGGAAACTGAGAGTTAAAATACTCTATAGTATAAAAACGTCCATTCATTAAACTCCAGTGTCAGATAGATCGGGAGTATACAAGTTGACTTGTCGTTCTTGTAATAAATTTTATATTGGACAAACCAGAAGAACTTTTTCCAAAAGAATAAAAGAACATAGTAGTTTTTTGCATAGAAAGTCAAATTCGAAATTTGTGAATCATCTTTTGACAGAGGGGCACTACTTCAATCACAATTATGATGTATTCCATTTGGAAGAGAAAGGTTCAACTCAACCTTTTAGACTGTTTAAAAATCAATAGATGTGAAATTTCGGGTTCATTGCTCAATGATTGAATAGATTTGAATTGTTCCTCTTTATTAAATTTAGTTTGAATAGGAAATTGGTAATCAGGTCAGATTTTGAAAGTACGTAAAATGGAGTGGAAATCTCACATCAAAGTTTTCATCAGTCAGTTCTATCTATTGTTAAAACTCAGTTCATTTATCGATTCTCATAAAGTTTTGTTTTAAATAGTTACTTGTGCGGGGCATATTGCTTCACATAGTTTACAAGCAATACAACGTTCTTCTCCAGATGGGTATCGCCTCAGAGCATGTTCTCCCCTGAATCGAGGACTCAAAGGTCCTTTTTCAAAAGGATAGTTGATTGTTGCAGGTTCCTTGAAAATATGAGCTAAAGTCACCCCAAATCCTCTGAACAATTCAGTGAAAAACATTATTTGTGCAGCACGGTCTGAAATTAAAGTTTGAAAGTAAATTGAAGAGATTAAACCTTCAAAATTGACTTACCAGTAATATCATTAAATGCCATGCTTGGTGCCTTATCATTGACATAAATGTAACCATCTTTTGGAGAGCTGGACAAGTATTTCTGATTAGGGACTAAGGCGGAAGGCCTCAGAAATTTGGAGCCTGCAAAATGAATATGCAGTTACACCTGGAATCTCTAGTGTTAAATGCTCGTGTGAAAAAAATTCAAGGAATGATTTTTCTTCTGTCAGAACTGTGAAAACACTTTTATGGAAGTTGCAAGAAAATAAAAAAATAATATTGTATACATTAGGAATTTTGTATTTGAGAACTATGCTTTTCATTACCGAAAAATAATACTCTTACCCGTTTTAGATAATGAAAATAATTTCAAAGAGACAGAATTCATTTTATTATAAGAGTTATGTCACTGATCACCGACAGTGACAGCTAATCATAGAATAACAAACAATGCAGATATCCGAACTCACTTTACGTGACCTTGAAATGAAACACGATTTTTGTAATGATGGCAACCACGAAAATGTTTGCCGCGAGAGGGCACTGACGGGCGTGAAGAATCAGTTTTCGTGGTTTCTTCATTATTTATAATTGATACAACACATTTATTTGAATTGTGACGTGGAATTGAAGGATTTAAAAAAAAGGAGACCAGTGATACTAGGTCTTAAGGTAACATGACAAGTACTACAGAAGTCAGAGCTGTTTTCTAGTGTGTCCTAACAGAAATGGTTGTGAATGTAATAGGAGTTGCCATTTTTCAAATATATGAGAACTGAAATTGAAAAATGTGTTAATGTGAGGTTGAAAATATCAAAAAAGTCCAGAACCGGAATATTCTGGTGAACCAGCTAAAAATGGAAAATGAAAATTTATTTTCTTAACAAATTAGTGTTTCCATATTTTTTTTTCCATACTCATTGTTCATTTTTTGTCTAATTTTTGAATATTATTTCCCATCGTTTTTTTCATATTTCACTGATTATATTCCTTCTTGCCATCTCCTAATCATTTGGAGTGAAATGTGTCTTGCACTCGATAGGCAATTTTGCAAGGATATGTTTGTCATTTGGAAATTCGTGAGCTACTCATGGATCAGAGACTTACGGAGCCATCAGGGGGATGTTCTTAACACCTGGTTCCTGGTTCATATGCCAAAACATCGCATCCATTTATCTCAAGCACTCAAATAGCTGTTTCAATGTCGTCTTGACCTCTCGCCCTCCAGCTTCCTCTGATGGCCTCGCCGATGGTAGTTCTCATTATTCCATTTGTATTCTCTGATGAAAGCCTTAACGGAATAGAAAGTTATGGGTTATAAGTAATAAGACAAGTTCGTTGCATGTATTCAAATGGTCCAACAAGAAACAAAGCAATAGGGCACACGTGGTAAAAAAAATGCTGAGAGTTCAGAAAAATGAATTCTTGTTTCTTTTAACTATCCAGTAAAAATTTAAATCTGAATCTTACACAATGAGGTATTAATTTAGTAGCACTGAATATGTGCCCAATACTGTGACCAAATGTGGTGGTTTGAGCACAGTAATAATATAGAGCCATCCAACTGCACTGAAGTAGGAATGTTCTTGGACAGATCTCTTGTAAACTCTAACAACCAGAACATTCCACTGTAGAACGCACTTGCGAACCGATTGTGTAAATTGCCAGAATTGATGGCGAAGTCCCTCAGCAGCGTGCTCAACAACCCGCAAAGGAACTCATTGACTCCTTCTGAAGAAGAACTATTCGAAACAACTCGAATCGTACAGTAAGAAACCGACATGTTTGTGAAATGCAAAATCTTTGGTCGAACAGATTTAGTTCAACATCGGATCGATACTGGCTATACCAAACTAATACGTCAAGCACCCAGACGACTGTTCTTCGCAAAGCAGGACAAAGGTTCATCCATCCTTAAGTACATGTAGGAGGCAGGAGTCATCAAAGAATCAAGCAACCCCTTGTTGTCGCTAAGGTGTTGATGACTAAGAAAGATATATCAACGAGATTCTGAGAAGATTACAGGAGGCCTGATGATGGCCGTAGGGTCTAGGTGGAACGACTTCAATTCTGAGAATGATTACGGTTTCCAACAGTGAGGAAGATTTAATGAGTTTGTTAACGTTCCTCAACTTATTTGATTGTGTTGGGTCCTGTTTGAATTTGCGGTAGTTTGAAAGGTCTAGTTCCTTAAATTTGCTGTTATATTATTTCGTTTTCAAAAACAGCGTGGCATTTCCTTGTTCGCTGGAAGTATCATAATACCCTCATCAGAGTTCAAACTTTTTAAGGCTGCAATCTTTCTTTTCGGGATATTGCATTTCGGAGATCGTGCCTTGCATAAATAAATACATAAATACACCATACCACTGAGACCAATAGTCAGTGTCCCAGGCTCGCCCACCTACCACCTGGTGAAACATCTTGCCTCACTCCTCCGGCCTCATGTGGGAAAGATGAACTTCTTCGTCAAGAACTCGACAGACTTCGTTGGTTGAATTAGGGACTTGACTCTGAAGCCGACAGATATTCTGGTCAGCTTGGAAGTTGTGTCCTTGTTTACCAACGTTCCATTGGAATACTTTCTGAGGGAGCTAGCCTACTTGTTTCAGAATGAAATTGTCGGCCTTTTCATAGCATATCTCACTAGAAGTTTCTTTTAATGGAGGGGAAACTTCTATGAGCAATTAGATGTCGTGGTGATGGGAAGCCTAGTTAAGTCAGCGATAGCCAACTTCTTCATCGAACATTTTGAAGAGAAGTTGAAACCGACCTTACAACTACGTGGATGACAGCTTCGTCATCTGGGAACATAGAAGGGGCGATCTAAACCTTTTCCTAGACTACTCGAACACTCAACACCCCAGCATCAAGTTCACCAAGTAGACTGAACAGGACCATCGGATATCATTCCTAGATGTAGGTACACATCGAAGCACACGGATAGGTACCTGCACGCACTATCAAGCCACCATCCTAGTCAAAAGAGAGGAGTCATCTCTACTCAAAGAATATGTAAACGAGACCATCTAGAGGCAGAACTGGAACATCTTCAAGTTACCTTGAGATCGAATGGATACAGTATATGCGAGATCAACAAGGCCATGAAACTGAAAATTTCCACGGTTCAAAACGTGGAGAAGGATTAGATGGTTGCACGCGCTTATTAACCATATATCCTTAGGATCGTAGACATAATTGGAAAAGTTATAAAGAAACACAACATTGAAACGGTTTTCAAACCCACCAAGAAGATACAACAAACCTCAGGTCGGCTAAAGATAAAAGAGTCCCACTATCAGCAGCAGATGTATATCGCATACCGTGCACTTGTGGAAACGTGTACATCAGAACCACCAAAAGATCCATAGGAACAATGCTGAAGGGCATGAAAGAAACCGGCGACTAGGCCAAATGGACAGGTCAGCTGTGGCGGAACATGCACTCGGTGAGGGAAATCACAGGATTCTGTTTGAAACACAAAACTCATTGTCCCCCAACCAGGGATACCATAGACGACTTGTACGGGAGGCAATAGAGATCCACAAACACACAGATACTTTTAACAGAAAAGAAGAAGAAGTTGTGAACCTCAAGTGATATGAGGTTTGTTTTGGTTCACAATTCCGTACAGTTCGATCATGCGCAGTTATTAAAATGTGTTTTGGTTTAGTTAGAATCGTTCACAAAGTGTTTTGGTTTTATTCGAACCGATTCAGAACTATTCCAGAACGGTAATTATTAGGTTTGTTTTGGTTCACAATTCTGTACAGTTCGATCATGGGCAGTTATTAAAATGTGATTTGGTTCAGTTAGAACCGTTCTAGTATCGTTCAGAAATTGTTTCGGTTTTCTCCGAACCGATTCGGATCTATTCCAGAACGGTAATTATTAGTTCCTACATTTGAGTAGGGACCGTTTAGAACTTCGAATTTGCTCTTGCGCACTAATAAAATTTTTCATTTGCGTTGTGGATTTTGGTAGTAACGTTTTCTTAATCTCATTTTTATCAGTATTTTAGTTGGTTTAGATGGTGTTTCATTTGGTATTTTATCTACAATACTGTTCGTCTCCGGTAAAACAAAGAAACTCGGAGAGTTCATTGCGACCTGTAAATAAGACAAAATCATATATCAACATTATTCTTATACCAGATAGTCGTGAAATGTATGTAGCAATAATAATAATAATCATTATTATTATCACATCTTTTACAATTCCAAAAATTTATTCTTGGCATGTTTTTGTCAAACTCAGTGTAATATTACAAAGAGAGGACAATATATTTTCAATTTAATTTTAGATAACCGGAGATAACGTCCTGTTACTCTCATTTTTTCAAAAACATCATTACACTTCAATTATATATTTGCTTAACTTTTTCATTCTTGTCATCAAACTTAACTCAAATGTTCAATGATCGTTATACCAGAGTAGAGGTACCTAACCTCCAATCTTTGTTTATACACTTGTCAGAATAATTTTTTTATATGTTTTGGTTTTTTACTTGTTGGGACCGTTCCAGAACTGTTCTGTGTCTGTAATGTTCTGCGCATTGATCAGCGTCGATACGGTACGTTTCAATAACTGTTCGAAATACAGAACCAAAACAGACTTATGGAGGAATTTTCCTCATTTAATATATTGATTTGATTTTCGAGGGTCCGCAGAGACTCTTATATATCCCCGTTTTATGAGAAATTAGTTTTTTAAGAAAAAAAGCTTTTTTGGCTCTCTAGTTTTCCCACATATTTTGTTTAATATATTTTGAGTAATGATAGAAGTGGAAAGCCAATTTATATGCAGATCCTGTGAATCGTTGGGTTGATGAATGTTTGTGATCTATAGAAATGATATTGCATTTATTGCTTAACTTTGTTTTTTAATCAAATCACACAATATACAACAATTCAGTAGTAGAAAAATATATACACTATTCAATAAATACTCCTATTCTATTTATTTACATGGTGATTTTTTTACACTCAATTTAAAACTTTGTACTAAATTGAAAATCAAAATATCTTCAAGATGTCAGCCTAATAAAGCTGTAAGTGCATCGAAAAATCTAGTCCTATCCTTCGTGTGTATTTCAAAATCTGAAACAAAAAAATATAGTGAATGACTCAAGTTTCTCACTGAATTATAGATCTAAAGGTTGATAGAGAATCTTCATTAATGAAGACACTTCATTCAACTTTATTTTTACATATATTTACATTTTATAATGACATCTGCAACGACTGTAAACATTGCGTACTAGATAAAATAACTGTAATCGAATAATGTAAGTTATCAGTGTAAAACTATTTTTAAAACTGTATTGAAGGTACAGGTGAATACCGCAGGACAAGATCAATATGGTGGCAATAATAAATACAACATATATCCACCTTGATGAATAATATTCAGTTGTCAGTTATTTTTTTAAATTCAGTTTGTATCAATTGAATTGTTCAGTTCCAATTTGTAAGTTTATATTATTTAATTAAATACTGATTTTCGATTGATTTTCAGTGGAAATAATAATAATTGTAGGCCAACATGAATTCTTACGACTTAAAACTTGCAACTTTCAACTTAATACTGATTATCCACAATAACGAATTCAGATTGGATTGCGAAAAGGAAATGATTATAAATCACCAATTTTCAACAGGAGTAATTTTCGAATCATATTCATCTTTGTTATAAGGAGAGCAAAATTAGCATAGCAAATGTCAGAATATAAAATAAATTAATGGATGAAGCCGTTATTATATAGTAGATCATCATGAAAAATGAGAATTAAAACTTCCTGTTTTTTACCACTTTTGTCCTATAAGGACATTTTCAAGCAAATACTTCTACAACCACATCAGGTAATGGCTTTATTACCTGAACGTTGTTTACCTGTGACAATGTTTTTTTAAACACTTTTGTCCTATAAGGACAATTTCAAGCCAATACTGCTACAACCACATCAGGTAATTACGTTTTTGCCTGAATGTTGTTTACCTGTGACAATGTTTTTTAAACACTTTTGTCCTATAAGGACATTTTCAAGCGAATACGGCTACAGCCACATCAGGTAATTACGTTATTACCTGAATGTTGTTTACCTGTGAAAATTTTTTTTAAACACTTTTGTCCTATAAGGACATTTTCAAGCGAATACTGATACAACCACATCAGGTAATGACTGTATTATCTGAATGTTGTTTACCCGTGACAATGTTTTTTTTACCACTTTTGTTCTATAACGCATTTTCAAGCGAATACTTCTACAACCACATCAGGTAATGACTTTATTACCTGAATGTTTTTTACCTGTGGCAATGGTTTTTTACCACTTTTGTCCTGACATTTTCAAGCAATCACTTCTACAACCGCATCAGGTAATTACGTTATTACCTGAATGTTGTTTACCTGTGACAATGTTTTTTACCACTTTTGTCTTATAAGGACATTTTCAAGCGAATACTTCTACAACCAACCACATCAGGTAATGACTTTATTACCTGAATTATGTTTACCTGTGACAATGTGGGTTCGCTAATCTGGAAACCAGCGAGTAGACAAGATTAATTTGATCATTTAATAGGTTATATTCGCAATGTCTATGTTCATGAATTTCCAAGGATTCCAGTTGATTGAGTTTCCAACCCTTGCCTTCATTTTGCACTATGAAGGCAAGGTCTATATTTTTATCTCCTTTTTTTTATCTGACCAAGGGTTTCTTCAAGTTCCAATTTTATCTTGGTATCAAAACTTTGTTGGGGATAATAAACGCTGGAGATTTTTATCAGATTTTTGGTACAAATATTCCATTTCTGAATAATGAATGAAAAAATTAAAATAACTTACAGGAAGTGTCGAAATAATCGCACGTGGCATCACAATTTATTCGTTCTGCTGCTTGTTCAAATGCTTTTCCAAAAAAACTGAAAAAACAAGTATTAGGGCAAATCTTATAATTTATTGTTTCACAGACTTACTTTTTTGGCGAGTTTTCACAAAGAGGGGGAATTCCAAGTATGATACAAGTTCCTGTTTCCATATTCTTTGGAGCAGAAACAATAAGAGGTAAAGTTGACGCCTTACGGTTTCTGGACATGGACACATACGCTTTCAATAAAAATTGAGCCAGAAGTGACAATATATGAAGCTGAGAGAACATATACCCATCGATGCTGCCCTGCGAAGAATATAACATTAGCAATAATTATTAATTACTGAAATTCATCTGCCAAACCTCTTGCACAATATGGTAAATGAATGGCCCAGCTGTGATTATTTGCTTCATATCTAATGCACTTTTCACTGTTTTGAAGAGAATTTTGGTGACATCTTTTGCCATTTCAATGGCTCCATGCAAAGCAGTCTTCTTTGTTCTGGTGAGACAATCAAGAGCGAGGTTGAAAAGCTCTTCCGGCTTTTTATCACGAGGCTATAATAATTGATGATCAGTGAGTGTCAAATACTAGAGGTACACCTTACCTTATATATCATTTAATTTGTATGTTATAGTTTTCACAAACTGTTTTTCATTTTCTAGATGTGGCCTAAACTATTTTTAAGATATCTGCTATTTATTGGTAGAACTCAGACATCAATGTTCAGATGGCAAAATTCGCGAAAATCGGAAAATCGTTAAATGGAAAACTTATATTCGCAAACTATCCACTACTGAGCATGATCATTCAAACAACCCAACTCTATATATGTTTTGGTTTGAGTTTCCTTCTTTCGCTTAGCACATCAACATCAGTAAATGGAAAACACAGCCTGTGTATGTGATAAAGAGTGAAAGTATACTACCCTAGATTTATTTTCAAAAACGAATATTCATATACACACATCGGAAAAGTCTAGGGATATTTTTATAACATAGTGAATATCATAAAAATAAATGCATGAGGTCGTTTAATTTCGATTGAATTGGTACACTCGACCACCCTGTAGATTTCTATGGGTTGAAGAAAGCCTGCAAAAACGGTAACTAATCTTTTATCAAGTTCCATATTTTTTTTTAGTTTTGCTTATATGCGTACTCAGTATTTTTGACCATTTAATAAATTTTGTTGTAAGTTACATTCGTTTAATAATCACCCGTTAACTTTTTTCCCTAAAGCGATCTAAAAAAATTATTGCCATTTTTAAAAATATCCCTAGACTTTTCCGATGTGTGTATTTTGGGATCTTCTTATACAAAATGGAGTTAGTAATGAGTAGTTCATATGAACAATACTATAGTTATCTTTTCAATTAATTCAGGTGAAGTTTAAAGACCATGAATTGATTTGCAAATATCTGACTTTTTCCTGTTCCCAAGATTGAAAAGAGCCCTGGAAGGACAGGGGTATGCGACGATTGAGGAGATAAAAACTGAATTGCTGAGAGGATATTCTAAAAAGTGCATATCAGACCTGCTTCAAATATTGAAAAAAATGCTGGTACAAGTGTATTATACCTAAGGGGGACTATTTTGAAGGGAACAAAATAGAAATTGATGAATAAATATGTTTTGAGAAAAACGAAAATTCACCTTATTTTTTGGAAAGAACTCATATCTTTCCTAAGTTTCATATCACTGTTTTTTGCAAAATATCTTCGAAATATACATAAAATTAACAACTAATCTACAGGTATTGGTGAAATTGTTTCTTACTTACTGATGATTCGAGTATTGCTAACAAAGCATAAACAATGTCAGACGCACAATATTTATCCCTATATCCATACTGTAGTACAAATGATGCATAAACAATGTCTTGTAAACCATATTTCTCAGAAAACTTTTCTACACATTTGTGAAATTCTTTCCTCAACTGTAAATCCATGCTCTTGAAGGACTGTCTACTTTGAATCAATGGAAAACTGAAAAAAAATATATAAGAAATTATCCATTACTATAACAGACTACCAGGCACTTTTCATCATCCTTAAAGCAAATCACTACAAAGGACTTACAAACAGACAATATATCAATAATTTCTAGAATGAAATATCTCGCCTTCTGTTATAAGTACTTTTATATGTTCAAATATTCATTGATTCATTTATCCTGAATATATACAGACAGAGTCCAATTACATATACACAGTACCTAAACTACACTAAACTTAACACATATATAGATAAAAAGATACAATTGACAATAAAATTATTATAAATATAAAATCTCTATATAGCCAATTTAACATCTTTTCTCAACTCTTGGTATCTAAGTAAATAAGAAGAATTTTTTTTCGATTTTTTGAAATATTTGCTTTTTAATTTTATTTTCTCAATCAAATCTCTTGTATACCAGACCAGATATTTGTTGTTATCGAGTTTTTTCTTGACAGGTACACATTGATCAAGAATGTCATATAGAATTTCATAATATGTACTATGACCTGTTAGACGATTGAAATTATTGAATGTACCTACCCCATATCGGCGAGTAACTCATGTAACTTCTTTTCACCTTTCAACAACCTCATTTTGACTGCCGGGAACATGGAGTATTTCAAACTAGATTCGACAGACCAGTGTCGATAAAGTGTAAGCCTCAAATCATTTTCGAATGAGATTTTAAGTGATGTCAAGACGTCAGTGTCATTCGTCTTGTTCTGTAACCTAGTGGCATGCGATTGAAGTGGTCCTATTTCTAAAGTATACTGGGTATTTTCAATCTTTCCTAAAATCAATTGTTCCGTTAGAGCTACTATGGCCAGCCAAAGTAGATCTTTGTCATCCTTGTTCAGCTTCCATGCTAACTCAAAAATTCTTATAGCACTCTGAAAAAAAGAACTAATATTATCCGGTGAATGAAAAAGTAGTTTCATGAACATTACAGTTCATGACAATGGCAAAATTTGTGATCTTTTTTCAAACTATCATAGCGAATGTAGCTTTGTAGGGTACCATTGAAGAACATTCCTTAAGTGGGGGGTTGCCATTTAAGACTATAAAGTTGGAGTGGCTGGGGACGAGGGGGTAAGTGAAAACAAGTTAGCTATTACATCATTTTGTTTCATCCTCCCTATTATGGAAGCTGTTTTCAGCGATTTCTTATATTTTATTTACTTGCTCAGATATAGCCATTGTCAGTTTTAAAATTGTCACCCTGTATAAAATTATTCCACATTTGATAACTGATCAGATGTTATTATTTACTTCACTGTATATTACCAATTCCCAAATATATTTCATAAACTTACGGTGATACAATTTGATCCCGATGCTTTTTTTCAATAAAATATTCAGTCAGAAGTATTAGTCATTGTTCAAATTGAAAGGGGCATATTTTTGGGAGAGATTAAATTTTGGAAAAGACATTTTTTGGCTTTCTACTTCTCCTTCTTTATAAAAAAAATATGAGAATCATAAATAGTTATTGATTTAGCGGATTGAGATAGGAACCAACAGCAAGCAGATTGCAGACTGTTTTGCAAACTTTTTTGCTACTGTTTATTCTTCTTCTGCTGATGTTAATGTTAATGTTAAGATGTTAATAATTTTTCAGAATTAGTTGAGTATGATAAACCAGATTTCTACGTGTCAGTGGAAGACATTTTCAACAAAATTTTCAATCTCAAAGACAAACTGAATTGTGGACCTGTTGGCTTTCCCGAGTATTTTTTCAAAAAATGTATCTGCACCTTAACATATCCCATATTTCTTATTTTCAAGTGCTCATTAGATTCTAGTTCATTTCCTGACCTGTGGAAATATAGCTTTATTCGGCCTATTTTTAAATCTGGTGATAAACAAAATGTGGAAAATTATCAAAGTATCTGTAGTCCGTCTTCACTTGCGAAAATTTTTGATTCGTTAGTTAGTGATCAGTTAAAATTTTATTGTAAGGAACGTTTAATAAATAATCAACATGGATTCTCACAATATAAATCTACTATTACCAACTTTATGATTTTTGAACACAAAATATTGGATGTTTTAGAAAGTAAAGGGCAAATGGATACAGTGTATACGGATTTTTCAAAAGCTTTTGATCGAGTGGACCACAATATCTTATTAAAAAAATTAAAGATATTTGGATTTTCTGACTCAGCTATAACATGGCTCAGAAGTTTCTTATATAATCGAAACCAACAAGTTGAAGTTGGAGGCGTTACATCGGTTATAATTCAGGTGCCATCAGGGGTACCTCAGGGTTCTCACTGTGCTCCTATGTTATTCAATATCTTTATTAACGACATTGTTGAATGTTTCCATCATACTGATTTTTTGATGTTCGCAGATGATATCAAAGTTTTCATGCCAATAAGATCACTATGTGATTCAACACTAATGCAAGATGACCTAGATAGATTGGTTACATGGTGCTCCGAGAACAATTTACAGTTGAATATCGCAAAATGCTGTTTTATAAGTTTTTACAAAATAAATAAAAGATTTGATACTTCTTATGTAATTAATGGCCATGGATTATCTTATGTTCTGTCTGTGAAGGATCTGGGTGTTTTTTTGATGAACAACTTCAATTTTTAGACCACTTGAACTATATTGTGGTAAAGGCGGCAAAATGTCTTGGATTTATTCTACGACATGGTAAACATCTGTCCCTTCAAGTCTTAAGGATAGTTTACTTGTCTCTGGTAGTATCAATATTAGATTATGGTTCAATGATATGGTCTCCATTTTATGACAATCACAATCTTACTCTTGTAAGAGTTCAAAACAAATTCCTAAGATTTTGTGCTCATAGAATGAGTATACCTGTTATTGACCATGATTATAGCAACATTTTAGAAATTCTTAATCTCAAACTGTTGAGAAAAAGGAGGGAAAACTTTGATCTAATTTTCATATACAAGTTACTGAATGGCTTAATTGTTGCTCCTGGAATTCTAGAAAATAATAATTTCAATGTCCCAAACAGAATTCTAAGGTCCAGCGATTTGTTTCATTTACGGTTTCATTTTACAAATTATGGCTTACATAACCCTGTTGGGTCATACACTTCGACTTATCAATGAAAGAAAATTGGAAGCAACTGGTATATCTCTCAGCAAATTCAAAAACAATCTCTTAACTGCATGGTAGTATTATGATATGTATTTCATAATAACTTAGTAATGTAGTATATTACTTCATTACATAATTGTTAATTTTATTCTCAAATGGAAGTGATCCCGTAAAATAAATAAATAAATAAATAAAAATAATGTTTTTCAAGCATGAATTTGAAATGACTTACTGCCCTGGCATAGTAGGTGAACTGGGAATATTCAAATAGTAATTTATTGCGATTGTCTTCCCACAGTCTTCGTTCTCTTCTTTTGATTATTTCTGCTTCATCTAATCTTCTCCGTTTAGCCGCCCTCCCTTCGCCGTCACTACTTCCTTCTTCTTCTGAATCTCCTTCTTCATCAGACTGAAACAAAAAAATGGATAGTTAATAAAAATAGCAAACATTTGAAAAATATAACTCACTTCTTCTTTGAAGATGTCATGGAATTCAGGAACTGCTGAATCTTCTTCGGGAGTGGACAGCAGCCTAACTTGTCCATTACTATAAATGTTACATAAATCTATAGGCCTGTGACTGTCCAAAATGAAAAACGTAACATCATCCTCAGCTTCAAGCTCTTCTACAATGTCAATCGTTCCTCCACAGTTAATCAAGATGAAATATTTCACATCGTTACAATTTTCTTTATACGCTGATTTCAGATCTTCGATTCCTCGGACAACTGATAGGGTGTACAATATGTGTTTGTATCTCAATAAATATTGTAAAATTTTACAGGAACAGATACTGTCAATGTCGTAATGAATTAGAAGAAATATTCTCTGAAAATGAAATTACCTTGGTCAGTTTCATAATAATTTTCAAAACCTACTAATGAGATAGTTAAAAATATCTAGTATAGTTACATGGAAAGGATATTTGAAATAAATGCCATGTGTTTCTATAGCTCCATATCTCAATATTCATTCTACTTTTTCGTGGTATATACTAATTGATAGAGAATTTTGTACTCTATACATTGATGCTGTTCATTTTTTCTAAATTTTAATTTTTTTGTATTTTTTTTCAGCTGATTACTATATGATGTTGTTAATGGACACACTGTTGGTTTGCAAATTTTGTTCCTAAGATTTTAGCCTCGAAGCTGAGCCCCGAAGTGGTCGACCTACGGTAATTCAGGACGAGGATTTCAAGATCCTGCCGGAGACTGACCCATCACAAACGGTTGACAAATCTCAAATGCATTTCTGGACTCAAATCGACAAGCCTGAGTAATTGAGGGTGTCTATGCCGAAACTTGGCTTTGAAATTGACTGCCTTTAGGAGTGTCGTTTATTTTTGATATTCAAAGATTGAGTTCTCTGTTGATTCCATAGATGGCGTATTCATAAGGGGAGATGTCATCGTCCTCAATTGACTGCACTGTAGCCAGAAACACGTGATTGCAGTTTGCCAATTATCTCCTTTTATTGAGTGATAGTCTGTGAAGATCACTTGTGATGAATGAAAGATTGATTCTTTTTACTCTTGTTTCATCCGTCTTTAACTCAATCCTCAATACATACATCATGTATGTACTATAGATGAATTCTGGTGCAACTCGTTCCATAAGTCCATTTTCAAAATATACACCCCTTTTTAAAAACATAAAATGAGCAAAATGTTGATGGAAACAATATCATTCAATGGAGTGGACATAATTTATTAGATGCTATGAGACCCCAAAAACAAAGGACTCAAGATCTTGCACATATTGAATCACAATTCTTTGTGATTTCATCTAGCTGTCTTATAAAGCAACTTCCAAAGTTGCCTTTGAAAATCAATTATCCAAATCCAAAAATAGGCACTTTTTGCAATCACCAGAATTTCAATACTCTTCTCAACGTGTGATTACCAACCATCTTCTATAGACACCAACAACACTCTTCAAGTGCTGAAAACTGTTTTCTTCATCTCCTTTTTTATTCTACACCAGAGGTTCCAGCTTTACCTTTCAATGATCCAACTGCTTTCGACTTATTGTGACTCGCCACTTTCGACCTAAGACTGGTGTATGAATCTACACCAAGTGTGACTGACAAATTCACTACTGACTACTCAAGCATAATATTGCTTCGCAGTGTAGAGTCGTTTGATTTCTCCTAGTCAATCTTCACTTTGATTTTATTCAAATTGTAACAAAATTCTAATGGATAATAATTTCAAACTCAGAAGAAACAATATGTACCAATGCTTTGTAAATAATAAATGAAAATTATTGCACATGTTTTTGATATGAACAATTAGCACCAAGATGATGTACATCAATGGGTGTCCTTCGTTTGATTTACCATTTTATCCACCTTAAGGAGAAATAAACTATTTAAAAAGGAATGGTACTCAAAAGAAATTTCTGAACTCTTCAAAAGACCCTGCTAAAATATATTGTAAATTATATTTAGAAAATTCTCTTTCTGTTTTATAAATTGGTTTTTAAGATATCGAATGACTTACCTTTCCAGATAAAAATTCATAGAAGTCTTTTTTAATATCGTCCACATACATCGTAAACCAAAACGACCTAAAACAACATTTTACATTCTAACTTCTAACCACTATTTGATAACCGCCAAAACTCAACCAAAACACCGAAAAAAACTGTTCTGTGAGTTATGTGCCTATATTCGGTCGCATATGATACCAAAAGTGTAATGCTAAAAAAACTACAAGCAGAAGTATAATATTTAATATGTAATATAATACTGTTCTTTTAGCATTATGCAAGTTGTTATATCCTTTTGTCAGGTATTTTCAGGTAATAAAAGACCAAACCATAGAGGTAGGAGGTAGGTAATCATTAATATTCTACAATTTTTTGTATCTAAGTACCAGTAGTACCACGATATGAAACATAAAAGCTCTATAACAGGTTGTGTTTATAATGGCCGTATTCTCCGTATACTATTAAGCCCAGCTTGTACCTTCAGCTCGCTTATGGCCGTATTGTCCATATAGTGCATTTAGCCTGGTTTAAACCTGGCACGTCCAATTCGAAAATTACATATAAGGCACTTTGGCAGGTTTGAAGCCTTCAAGTGAAGTTTGTATAAACCCAACCTGGCTTTTTGTCAGGGATGAGGACTGAGAAGTACCACTATAACACAATCGTACCTACGAATATCAGATATTCATATATCTGCAATATTTACCCTTTCGCCCTTGTGTTTATTTTACTGCCGAACGAAGAAAAAGTTTGATTCACTTCTTATGGCTGGACCAAGTACCTACCAAACATTCATTTTAGCTTAGCGCTTGTATAAGCATGGTGCTTAAACGCTCCTTTTGATTTACATTGTGACAACTTTCAAGAAGTAAAAGTTTGGTGCAAGACATGTTCCATATATTTAAGGTAAAAATTACTTAAAAAGTCTACATTTCTTTCTTATTTGCTAATCAAATGTCTAGTTGTTCTATTTCAATTTCGTGTTGTTTCATCATGAGGACATTTTCTGCCTCCATGTGCCGGAATTGGGTATCCAAAATATGGATTTATTTTGATCGACTATCCCGAAAATTAAATGCCCTTCTAAGTTCGGTAGTGCTGGTAAAATGTATATTCAATCATGAGATATACTCAATAGAAAAAATTACATCATTTCTCATTTTTTGAAATAAATGATTTTGTTGAAGAAATCAAAATATGAGTGTGATACATTATTCACTAAATGTGGTATATTTTCATCTTGTTGTTGGTACGATTTATTTTACTTCTGGCAACACTGCTTTGATTTGGTGAATGTGAAAGTTAGGTTAGGTTCTGTGTTTAAGGGTTAGGTTGTTTATTTCAAAAACATATAATATACAGATATATGAGAATTTGAAAATACATTGATTTCAATATGTCACGCCCTGAGTACCTTGCTCCACCTGAAATCGTGAGTATAGTTTTTATGATATGCACATGTTTGTTGTATGCAATTCCTAATTCTATTTTAGTTTTACAATGAAGAGGAGGCAAGGAAATACACTCAAAAGTATGTAACATATTAAAAATTAGGAAGGTTTCATTAAAATTACGTGATATTTCAGCTCAAGAATCATGGACATTCAGGTTCAGATGTGTGAACGTGCGGTTGAACTCTTGGTTCTTCCTGAAGACTCTCCTTGTTACCTTCTAGATATTGGATGTGGTTCGGGATTGAGTGGAAGTGTTCTCGAAGACCAAGGACACTTCTGGGTTGGTTTAGACATATCAGAAGCTATGCTAGGTATTTTTTTCAGAGATTGACTGCTGTGGTCATTAACATTTGTATATCTACTATTAATTTCTGTTCATTGTTCATTTGAACTATTATGAATCATGACAGAGAGATGTTTCAAATTAGACTATTTTATATATTTTTTTTGGTTTTCTAACTTTTCAAAATCAGAAAAAAATGTAATGGAGAACTTCAAAAACGTCTAGAGAGGGCAAACTTTTTGTTTTTTTGATAAGTTACTGCTTAAATTCAAAATATTCCTCACAAAGAAAAACACTATTGAAATTGTGATTTCCTTCACAATTGAAGACTTTAGTTTGATATTCAAGCCTAATAACTGTGTCTTACTTGGTTCATCAAAAAATATACAGTATTTCAAAAGGTGTGCTGTCTTTTATTTTCAGGTGTTGCAGTAGAAAGGGAGGTGGAAGGTGATTTGACGTTATCTGATATGGGACAAGGATGTCCGTTTAGGGCAGGTTGGTAAAAATGATCTTGATATTTGCCAGAATACATTTCAGTGTTACTTTTAGAATTTTGAAGGAAATCAAATAGTATGCCACTGCAAGTTCACTTTGATAATCATTTGAAAAAACTCAAGACTACTAATTTCTCTCTCTGATGTTTTTATGAGTCGTTATGTTTTCCAAATTATTAGTGGATATGTTGCAGTTTTGCATCACATGATATTATTTTCTTTACAGGAACTTTCGATGGTGCTGTGAGCATCTCTGCACTTCAATGGTTATGTAATGCTGATAAATCATGCCACAAACCAGTACAGAGATTGTACACGTTTTTCAGCACCCTGTATGCCTGTCTGGTAAGAGTTTTATCACTCAATTAAAAAAATCCAATATTATTACAGTTGACTCGTGATAGTTCGATACTCCGGGACCGCCAGGGTGTCAGATTACCAGAAATTTCGGATTACCAGAGATTGGCTCTATTTAATTGAATTTGCAATGTATAAGTTTGGAAATCTAGTTAACAATGAATGTTTATGTAATATTTGACTAGAAAAGATTCAAAATATGTAATGAAGTCAGGTTTTAGTTTTTACAAAAGGAGAGAAGGTTATTTAATATCAAAATCATAACACATGAATCAGATTTACACATTGAAGTAACACCGATAACTCATACGGCGCAGCGTCGGACTACTGAGCGTCTCGAACTGTAAAAGTGTCAGACTATCGCTAGTCAACTGTACTAACAACTTATCCGTACAGATATGAAAATATGATTACATATAATTTCCTACGTTTGTTTGAAGGTGGTTGACAATGTTTCCTAGTAATGAAAAAATCAAATATAACTTTTGAATCCTGAGTAACACTGAAGTGTTACTCAAGATCCTCTTTAATGTCGAAATAATACTTAAGATTCTGAAAAAAGTATCAGAATCTAGGAAGAGACTTGAGAAACATTTCTCTCTCTCACTTTCACTGTCTTCTAACGAATGCAAATCAAGTGGGCGAGACCATAACGGAATTCAGAAAGCTCTTCCTACATTTGACAAGCTGTAAGTAAGTAACCTTCATCACTGTCACTATTTTCCGGGTTTGAGGAACAACTTATATTAAGCTTTATAAGTAATTGAAAAAAAAAATGGTGAGCTATAATTTTAATGAGAATTAGCACTTCGTCTAAACTTTCTGCCACTTTCTGATAAAGTTTTTCAAAATTATTTTTGAGTTTTATTTTTTGCCAGTAACTTTACTTTTCCTTGCAACGACAAGAAAATGTTCAACATTTAAGTGGACTTATGATGCACTGTTGGGAACCCTTGGTGTAGTAATGAATATTACTGGAGCTTGTCCCCAACACCAAACAGTTATTTTAACACCTCGACACCTGTTTCGATCACCAAGTGTTCATCTTCAAGAGGAAGATCAAACTGAAGATGATCACTTGGTGATTGAAACACGTGTCGAGGTGTCAAAATAACGGTTTGGTGTTGGGAACAAACTCCAGTAATATTTAAGTGGACTGTAATCATACCTCAGCCATTGTATTCACCAGATTTGCTTCCCTGCGACTTTAGAAATTGATGAATAAATAAATGTTTTTAAGAAAAATGAAAATTCACTTAATTTTTTTGAACAGACAGCGTATTATGGCCAGTGTCCTGTTTCAATATAGTTTAACATTTTGTGATTGACAAAATGACAAATCTTTTTTTTTCAGAGTCGCTCAGCGAGAGCAGTTTTTCAGTTCTATCCAGAAAATAGTGATCAAATGGAGTTAGTAACAGCCCAAGCAATGAGAGCAGGCTTTTACGGAGGTGTAGTTGTTGATTATCCAAACAGCACCAAAGCTAAAAAGTATTTTCTGGTACTTATGACTGGAGGAAGTGTGCCCTTACCTAAAGCTCTTGGTACAGATGAAGATTCTCAAGGTGTTTGTTATTTTTTTTTACATGTTAGACCTGGCAGCATTCACAATATTTTTGAACTCATTCTTATAATTCCAAAAACAAGCACTTTTTCCAATCACCAACCAAGTTAGCGTCTTCAGCGGATGAGGTAGATGTAACTATTGTTGAGCAATTATAAGTGTAAAAATGAAAGTTCATCAAATCATATTATGGTTGTTAAAATCTCGTATGTAGACATAGAAAATAATTGGATAATCTTGTTGAACGGAGATACAGGTGCAATGCAATGCAATTGTGGCCCACAGCAGGCAAGAATGTAAATTTTTACCTAAAGAAGTAATTTTTCACCTCTGTGCGGCTTTTTCTTCAAACGGGCAACTATAAGTTGATAGAGTCCAAAAGAATAGCATATATGATCCAATAACGAAAAGTTTTTTTCGATCTGTCTCATTGTCTCATCGTAGAGGGAGTCACATTAGGAATCCTTCTTGTGTGGACAACTGAATTCAAACGTTTTTTGGCTTCAGATAACTATATTTATCAGTAACACATCCGAAACGCTTGTATTGTTTAAATTGACAACCACTAAAATATCTAATGAAATAATTGTAATTTATTAAAGGATACATTTCTAAATTAAAACAAAAATTGAAGTTTCTTATTTTGAAAAATGTTTGGCAGAATCTAGTTTGGAAATTTTGCAGGTTAGGTCTGTCGGCAACAAGGCTATAGTCTATATTGATACAAAAGGACAATAATACACTTATATTGTAAATTTGGAAGAAATGTGAAATTTTCTTATAGCCACAGGTCATGGAGGTGGTTATTCTTTTTAACAATCGAGAGTCGTTTCTGGCAGGCCCGACCTACAACAATTTTTGCCGGCCCGCACAGTTTTTGCCGAGTTGCAATGCGTTTTTTCCGATCTGTTATACCACTGAAAACAATTTCCAGACTTGCAAAATAATCATACGGGGAAAAAATTCATGATAGTTTAGAGTTACACATGTCCCCGGTTTGTCCAAAAATCTGATCAAATCAATTATTGTTGAAGAGCCAGGTCACTTAAGAGTCAGGTTGGCCGAGCGGTCTAAGGCGCCAGATTTAAGCTCTGGTTCCCGAGAGGGAGCGTGGGTTCGAACCCCACACCTGACATTTTTTTTTTGCTCTATGTTAATAGGTATATATTGGTATTATTTCAGGAATATCTCACACAGCCAAACGGGAGAGATTGAAACAGCAACGCGGGAAAAGTATAAAAAAAGGTAGAAATTGGATTTTAGAAAAAAAAGAAAGAAGGAGAAGGCAGGGAAAGGAAGTTAGACAAGACTCTAAATATACAGGCAGGAAAAGAAGAGAGAAATTTTAATGTAAATAAACTGAAAAATATTCCTAGTTTGTATTTAATTATGACCCAACCAGAAATATAGAAATAAAAAAAACCAAAAAATGTAGGAACATCTCCAAATTCTTATTTTGAAAAATGTAGAATAGAAACATGTGCAAAATGAGAAGAGAAAAAAAATGAAAATCCATGTTTGTTAATTTAAAAAAAATTAATCGGGCCTGTCCGGGATTTGAACCCGGGACCTCTCGCACCCGAAGCGAGAATCATACCCCTAGACCAACAGGCCGATATTGATATGTAGCTCATGGTGTAATATAAGCCAGACGGTTGTTATTCGATTTTATTTAAACAAGTTGCACATTAAAAAAAAGCAACAAATGTTCACGTTATCCACAAGAAACACTATATTTTAATATAATAATGTAATCAGACGAATACTACCATGAACTTTATGGTACACACATATACCTAGGTGTTATGTTCATGAATGGTGTCCTATATCTGCTATACGGCTACTAGGTATATTGAAATAAGAATGGGTGAAAAAAACTTGGATTTGTATAGACAAACGCCTATAAGGTATTTAGGTAAGCATGAAATCTACATGAAATGATACAAATTAAAAAACTCCTGATACCTATGTAGGATACTCGAACGAAGTAGGAGAGGCGTTTAGATCAATAATTGGGAGAAAATGGGTCAACTTTTCTTATGCTGTAGCCTCATTTTACGTGCTAGCCGATACTGCTGATAAAAGCGCAAAATCTTATAAGGTATGGAAATCTGATATTTTCAGTTAATTGTCTTTTTCAGGGAGTGAAGACAAAAGTAAAATATAACATTATTTTAGGAATAATAGATTCTACTTTATGGAGGCTTCCAAAGGTTCAATATTTATTTGGAATAAATATGTGCCTTCTGGTAATTATTAATAATGTAGGCTATAGCTTGTGTTTAGCTACCAGAATATGCAAGAGACATACTTGACCTTATGCCATGACAGTTATGACACATGATTTTAACGACCTTTAAACAAATTATTGGTCATACGACTTTCATAACATTTTTTGCTGTCTAATCTTCCGGTACCGGAATATAGTACATCACGACGGAGAACATTTTACTGACAGTGTATGTAAAGAAATATTACATATATACCTACATGTGTCATCAATAATAATAATATACGCACACCTACTTTTATATAACATTATTTTCTTTCACCATTTTTCGTTAATCAGAGAGAGTTGTTTGAATGGTAGCTTACACCAACGATTTCTCATAGTATGGATCAAGCATTCCCTATCTTATTAGACAGGAGCAGTTTGTTCTATCACAACATGTAACAAAAAATCATATTTCTATAGAAACGATTGAATAATCCATTTCTCTCATTTCCTCAATCAAAACGACATCTTGCATAGTACCTAAACTGTCAGTGGCGGTTCTGTAAGGTCGAAAAGATATGAATGATGACGCTTGTACTGGACATCCCCGTACATCAGCAACCGATGAAAATATTAAGAAAGTGAAGAAAATTGTTATGGAGAATCACTGAATCATTATTAGAGAAGTTGCTGAGAATATAGGCATGTGGGTTGGCTCATGTTATGCAATTTTTTGTAAATTTTGGACATTTAGCGTGTGAAAACGAAGTTTGTTCCAAAATTGCTGAATTTTGACAAAAAAAAGGACATATGATCATCGTTCATTTTGTCTTCGAAATCAAAGTCCGATCGTCGCATGGAAGGGCCCAGGAAAGTTAAGACCAAAAAAAGCACGCTAAGTTCTTCAATTACCGTGGCGTATTGCATCAGTAGTTCTTGCCACGTGGTCGTATGCTCAACATTTCAAGTGTTTTGAACACTCAATTCCATATTTTACAAAAAATTTGATGCAAATTCTTTGATCCATTTTTTCGATAGTAGAGAATTGCAGAACATGCAAAACACTTCCAGCTCTCATGCCTTTCATCAACAAACTGAACATGCTAATCAGCTGAAACTGTGAACATATGTTCGACACCAGTTTACCAACATAAAAAAATTGCTAATCGAATGTACGTAGGTCGCGAAATTGGAACATTCTCCTTGTTGTTTGAACAGACCTCGTATGTAGTTTCTATTGCATTTTTAAGCCACGATAATTCTATCACACTTTTAATGTACTTGGAAAAAGTATAACATACTATCACCTCAATATTAAATACATATGCATTATTGATTACAGATTTCTGTTCGCTGTTTCAGATTCATTATGATGAAATAAAACACACGAAGAAAGTATTGTTTACTACTGCAGATACCCTGATATGGCAACTACTAGCATCAGTTATTCTCCCAGGATATACAATAAATAGAGTATGTGCCCTTTCTGGGTTTCTCATCAATCGCAGCAGAAAAGTTCCGAAAAATACTAGCAAATGGATAGTAACCGGCATTGGCCTAATTACCATACCTTTTATTATCAAACCAATAGATAGGTTCGTTGATTATGCTCTAGATAGCAGCTTAAGAAAGTTCCAGCCTTAGATATTCGTTCAGGAATAATGAAGAAACGTGGTAAAAGGGGATTCGTAAAACATCAAGTTTGAATTAAAACGAATGCTTCACACCGTAGTAAATTATGAAAGCGAATCTAGATTTCACTTTCTAGTCTAAAGCGCAATATTTTTCACTGTTAATATAATATTAAAATATAATAAGTTACATCTGAAAACATCACTTGCCAAACTTGTGACAGATAAGTGATATATTTCATGTTGAAAGATTAATAAAGTTGTATTAAACACTGTATTTTATTGAATGAAGTGTAAGTTTCTCACTCAAGGTTCTCAATCTGCCTCTTCTCTCAATATACACTTTCAGTACAAACAAAATTTTACAATACAAATACAATAAGTTACATCTGAAAACATATCACTTACCTAACTTGTGATAAATAAGTGATATATTTTATTACACGCTTTATATTAGCTCCACCTGTTTGTATGTATGCATGTTTGTAACTTTAAAGCTCGGCAGATAGCGCTGTACGTAACTATCAATTATTGCTTGATTTATTCGTGGGCAGATGGCGCTGTACGTAATCTCCTTGATCTATTCGCGGGCAGATGGCGCTGTACGTAACTATCAATTATTTCTTAATCTGTTTGCGGGTAGATGGCGCTGTACGTAATCTCCTTGATCTATTCGCGGGCAGATGGCGCGGTACGTAATCTCCTTGATCTATTCGCGGGCAGATGGCGCTGTACGTAACTATCAATTATTACTTGATTTATTCGCGGGCAGATGGCGCTGTACGTAACCTGCTTGATAGGTTGTTCAAAAGAAAATCAAAATATAAAACATACTTTAATAATTATAAGTGCAAAATTTTGTACTACAGACGAATCATTTAGATATTTAAATATTTTCAATTACCCGTGATTCAGTACAGAAAAAAGTTTTGAACAAAACGGAAGCTACATTTTAAAATCTAATTTGATTATTTGAAAGCAAACCTGGATATGGACTTCGACAATGGAAACTTTATCGTAAATTGTACACCTAAAAAATTTAGTTACTTAAATATATCAAATCAAAAGATTGATTTGAAAAATAAAATTATTCACTGAAAAAATATTTTTAGTCCATTAATATTTTGAATGAAACTTCAAATCAAGACTGAATTGTTTTTTGAAATTATTACTGCAAATTTTCTCTTTACTTCGAAACAAATTTTACATCTGTCCGCCCTCTGTTGGAGACTTACTGCATCTCTGTATTACTACAGAATTTAAGACTTCATACTTTATTATATTGTTTGAGAGGAATTTTACATTCGTGCGCCGTCTGTTAAATATTTATAATACTAATAATATTTTTGACAATAAATCAGACTTATCTCTGGATGAACATCTCTCTTGGAAATCTCTATTGCCAACAATCATATTCCTAATTGAATTGTTTAAAATATATCTTTTATTAATTTACGATCTGTTCTGGAAGTGAAACAAATGGTGAATGTTTATTATGCCCAAGTCCAGTCGAGACTCAGATATGGCATTTGTCTATGAGGCAATGCAGCAGGTGGGAAAGATATTTTCATTGCACAAAAACGAATTTTGAGATGTATCGCGAAAGTTTCTGACAGAGAATCGTGTAGAGGAGCTACTTTCAAAACATTTCGTGTTTTGACGCTTCCATGTCTCTTCATTTTCGAAACGTGTGTCCATGTTTTGAAAAATAAATATAGTTTGAAAAACTAAAAAAACACGCATTTAAAGAACATCGAACTAAAAAGTTGTATAGCGATTGTATGGCGAAACACTTGTTGCGTTTTTGTAAAACTGTCTAGTAAAAATCTCTCAGTTAGGGATTTTCATTAAGTATCGGTCGATTCCATCATAGAAATTAAAACGGACAATACTTGTGAAACAACCTACTATAATAGCTTAATAAACAGGCAGAAATAATGTCGCCTATTTCAGTATTCATAATTTGAGATCCCCTCGTAAAATTAAAATACAGTTAAACTTATCAGCGATTCCATTAACTCTCAACTTTTGAGAAATTTCCACTGTTCGATAATAAAAGAGAGATGGAAAATATAATCCTTATTTATACCACATACCGAATAGAATATTTTGTGAATAAACTGTATTTGAGTTTTATCGCTATTCAAAGAATTTCAGAATGTCCGAAACCGAAGAATTCGTAAGTGTTGAAGATATTTTGAAAAAACTTCCTAAAGATGAGTATGAAAAAATACGCCGAGTGCTATATGGAAAAGAGACATAGTAAGTAGAGGACGGGAAGGGTAGCCATATTTTTGAGAACTGACATATTGTTAATTTTATTTTTCTGGTCACAAGTGTGTTTTATCCCACAAGTGACATTTGAGTGTTATGCGATATCCTTTGAAATTATTTGAATTCAGCTCACCTCATCACAAGAACTGAGTGTATAGTTATTTCTAAAAATAAAGAGAGGTAAACATATTCAAATAACTATATTCTATTTGTATACATTCCATAATAAATCATTCTGTTGATAAACGAGGTGTGTTCAAATAGTATTCACTCCATTCATACTGAAACTGGAATATGTGAACGCACAACAAAATTGTATGTTTATAAATCTTTCATAACATTGATCTTTCTATTTCATTATTGGAAGTTGGATACTTGGATTTTTTATAATCGACATCACCAATGTGAAATTATAATACTTTGGGTTGAATTGCCACAGATTTTATAAGCGGGGTAACTTGTTTCTTTTACTAGTTATAAGAAATATACTGAATTCAGAACATTCCTGTTCTGAGACTTTTCGAAAGTTACTACAGCCCTAAATTGCAATTCCATCACAAGTACTATTTATTCAACGAAACGAAATGGTAGCGCTCAATTTTTTTCTGAAGTAGGTACCTACTAAAATTGTGTCTCTCCAGAGATGTACACAACGAATGATTTCGTATTAAGACTATCTGATAAAAACATTATATACATACATCGGAAAAGTCTAGGGATATTTTTATAACAAACTAAATATCATAAAAATAAATGCATGAGGTCGTTTAATTTCGATTAAATTGGTGCACTCGACCACCCTGTAGATTTCTATGGGTTGAACAAAGCCTGCAAAAACGGTAACTAATCTTTTATCAAGTTTTTTACAAACTGTAGGTTTTCGGCTAAAATGAATAATCTGAAAGTGTCGAGTTTGTACATTCTATGCAGTTCTTGCTCAGCAATTAAACTGGAAATATTGTGCTTTAACATGGAACGCCATCATCATTATTGGCTGAGATGAATAGAGCTGTAGGGCTTCTTCAAGGTGGCATGCGACAAAATGATGTAGCTCTTCGTTTGGGGGTTTCCCAAAGTGTTATCAGTCGATTGTGGCGGCGTTTCCGTGAAACTGGCAGTCCAGCCGAACAACATACGTGGCGAGGACGCGCGACAACTGCAGTTCAAGACCGATTTTTGGTCTTAACCGCAAGAAGACAACCGACAATCACAGCACCTGAGTTGGTTAACGTGTTGCAGCAGACGCACCAGGTAACCATTGGTCGTGATACTGTCAGAAATCGACTGCATGAAGCAGATCTCCACAACAGAAGGCCACTTAGATGTCCACCTTTGTCGAGAGACAATCGCGGTAGAAGATTATAGTGGTGTCAAGAACATCAAAACTGGGATGCAAATGATTGGGCCACAGTTTTGTTTACAGACGAATCCAGATTTGGATTCCATCCAGATTCTCGTCGAGTAGGACTGTGGAGACGACCTGGAAATAATGAACGTTTGAGACACGTCCAGGAAGTCCACACATACAGAGGTGGTACACAAATGCTATGGGGCGGAATCATGATGGGCGGCAGAACCGATCTCGTTTTTCCAAATCGCTCCCTCACAGCTCGACAGTACCTCGACACCATTCTTCTACCTATCGTCCGTCCGTTTGCTGGTGCTGTTGGTGAAAACTTCCACCTAATGCACGATAATGCTCGTCCACATGTCGCGCGTCTAGTGACTGACTGGCTCACCAACGAAGGAGTTGATGTATTGCCATGGCCAGCACAATCACCGGACCTGAATCCCATCGAGCATGTGTGGGACATGCTTCAACGAAGAATTACTCCGCATATGGGGATCATTCACACAACGTTTCAATTGAGAGAGCTTTTAATCGCTGAATGGGCAAATGTACCTCATTGAGACATTGACAATCTCATTTTGTCGATGCACGATAGATGTAGGGCCGTAATAAACCAGCGTGGAGGCCATACTTTTTACTGATTCCAAATGAAATTGATTTTCCAAATAAAATGAACGAGTGTTTTTATCATTTTCAAAATTGAGTTGATTTTCAAGTAAGTGAATTCAACATATATGTAAAAATACGGATTTTCGTTTATTACATCCCCAACTTATTCTCAATATTTTCATTTCTACAGTGCCTTACAAATATCAGAAGATGCCGAAAATCTTTCCAAAAAGTATGGTTTCGAACTATTGTCGTGTGGATTTAACTCTGAAAAAGAACAACTTCGTCTTCCAAGAAGAATTAGGGTCGGACTATTTCAACACAGTACTCCACTTCCCACGTGGAGTCCAATAAAAGAAATGCGAGACGCCATATTCAAGATGGCAGAACAAGTCCTAGAAGTTGCCTATAAAGAAGGAGTGAACGTTTTTTGTTTTCAAGAAGCGTGGAGTAAGTTTTGTTTTGTAATGAATAAATTGATGGATGTAGCCGTTACTATACGAGTAAAGAGATCATCATGAAAAATGAGAATTAAAACTTCCATGTTTTTATCGATAAAGGACGAAACCGCAGTAACATATTTTTTATAGTTACAAATACAAGTGATAAAAATATATGTAGAAAGTTTTATTTCTCATTTTTCATAATAAAATTATTATTTTTCTATGTTACAATTTTGTCTGAGAGGAATTCGTTCAATTTCAGATATGCCTTTCGCTTTCTGCACTAGAGAAAAATTACCCTGGTGCGAATATGCCGAAGATGCAGAAGAAGGACCGACAACGAAATTTTTGCAAGAGGTATTTTTTATTTTTTGTAATTCTTGATTTAAAATAATTCACTTTTTAGCTGGCACAACGGTACAATATTGTAATAATCTCTCCTATTTTGGAGAGAGATCAAAAACATGGCGATACTATATGGAACACAGCCGTAGTTATTGATAACCATGGAGATTATTTAGGAAAACATAGAAAAAATCATATACCGCGAGTTGGAGATTTCAATGAATCAACCTACTACTTTGAGGGAAACACCGGGCATCCGGTATTTGAGGTAAATTGAACTTTTTCAACGAATTCAATTGAAAATAGTGATCAAGATGGGGTGAGATGAATTTAATTAAACGATGGTTATCATAGTTTCTGCTAATACTTCGTCGAATGCTATGTACGGAAAATCATATAAATTATGAAAGCATTCAAATCACCCTGTAATTGTAACGCAGTTACAAGCGCAGAACTCATACTTACCTTACTTTTCAGTTTCTACGATCAAAATAAGAGCAAGTCTCAATTCACCTGAACCTTATGGTTTTATTTCAGCTTTCTGTACGGCATCAGCTGGGTTAGTTGTTGTTTTTTCATCAGGTATCTACAAAATCGTAGGTTCATATGAAAGGCAAGGGTGAGGTGTTTTCACCTGAACTTGAGCATATTATATATGCACTTCTCCAGAATCTCTATTATTCTGACGCCACATTATAGAGTTGTTTCCGGACTTTATCTGCAGATGGCATAGTTGTACACCTACTGAATTAACCGCAGATAGAGCTTAAGACTAGTTGGAATCGGAAATCCGAGTGAACCCGATATCCATCCGGCTTCTATGGAAGAACTGAAGGGTTATATCAAGGCCGCAAAGGCCAAGAAAGCCCCGGGGGTCGACTCAATAACCAACAAGTTGTTGAAGAGGCTCCCGAAAAACTGCGTTGAATTCCTTCTGACCTTGATCAACAATTCGTTAGCCCTCTGACACTTTCCTAGAAGGTGGAAGCATGCGATCGTTGTCATGATCCCAAAGCAGGGTCAGAATCTGCTGTTCCCGCAGAACTATCGCCCGATCAGTCTACTCTCGTCGGCGGCTAAGCTACCTGAAAGAGTTGTTCTGCAAAGACTCAACGAAGAAATTGAGGACCGAAATGTTCTGCCAAATGAACAATTTGACTTCAGGAGAGATCACTCCACTGAATTACCGGCTCTAAGGTTGGTCGAAAACACCATCAACGAACTTACCTAATACCAATAGGAAAGTACATATTGTACTATCAGATATCTTGAAGGCCTTCGACCGGTCTGGCACGAAGGCCTTCTGCACAAATTAAACGCGTTTGACCTACCTCGGGGCCTCATCCGGTGTCGGGTCTTTCCTGAAAGACAGAACCTTTCAGGTCAGAGTAGAGGATTCTCTGTCTGATAGCAGAGAGATCCTCGCCGGAGTGCCACAGGGGGCCGTGCTCTCTCCGACGCTGTATTCTCTTTACACCAGCGACCTCCCCAGGTCCGATCGTGTGAAGATATCCCTGTACGCCGATGATACGGCTCTTCTCTCATCTTCCATGGGTCGGGAGATCGGCGTCGTCTATATGCAACGTGCATTGGACGACCTCGAGCGCTGGTACCTTGATTGGAAGATCCGAGTGAACCCGGAAAAGACTCAGGCAATAACCATGGGAAGACTACTATCTTCTCCGGCCAAAAAAGTGAGAATCTCTGGAAGGGAGATTGACCGGCAAGCGCGGGTAAAGTACCTCGGCCTTCTAATAGACCGTAGGCTCACTTGGAACCCGCACATCATGTGCGTTAAGTCTAAGATCGAGGGTCGGATATCTAGTCTGTACCCTCTGATCAACAGAAAATCAAAAATGAGCACGAAGAACAAAATCATGATCTACAACACGATGTTCAAGCCTGTCATCATGTATGCTTCAGGCGTCTGGGGACAAGCGGCTCCGTCCAACATTTCCATTCTGGAAAGGTTGCAAAATAAATTAATTAGGATGATTGTGAATGCTTCTTGGTTCGTGCGGAATGAAGCCATCCACAGAGATTTGAAGCTGCCTTCCATTCAGCAGTCGATTCAGTCGAGGAATCGGCGAGTTTTTGAAGGTGCGGAAACTCACGATAATCCTTTAGTCAGGGAGGCTATAGATTATAGTGTAGGCGATCCCTCCCGATATAGAAGGCCCCGACACTCTGTCGAATGAGGCTCTCATGTTCCCCGTTAAAAGATGAACGGATCTTTCATCCATCCCACTCCAGCTAGGTAGGGGTATCCCGTGAAGGGCGGTACTGATGTCTGAGGACTTCATGCCGTCAACATCCCCTCAGTCATGAACCCATTTGTCCTTCTTCAACTAAGATCAGCCAAAAGGGGGAGCTGGGCTCCAACCTGAACAAACTCAAGACGACGTGCAGGTTTGTTCGGAATATTCAGCTAGGAGACCACAAATGTACGGTTGGCTCCTGTTGGTGACTTCGTGCATGTGTATTGTTTTCGGCAAACAAGTGTATTGCCAATCCTTACACTTGGCTGCACCGCACTGACGGGGCAAATAGTCAGAAACACGTGTCCGTGGTTTTGCACCATTTTGGAGTGTTATGTTCGCTAATTCACCAAACGCTTCACAAATACAGGGTGTGTTTCTGACAAGTTGAATTTACCGTGTTTATCGGTAATATATCAACATCAACATAAAGAACAACGATGAGATTGGAACCTTTGGTGTGAAAGTTGAATAACTTTTTTCGAGATCAATTGCCCTAACATCAAACTGATATTTTTGCACTCGACGCGCGTTTCGCCAACAAAGTTAGCATCCTCAGTAGAAGAAAATTGATGTTTTTTCTCCTGAGGATGCTAACTTTGTTGGCGAAACGCGCGTCGAGTGCAATAATATCAGTTTGGTGTTAGGGCAATTGATCTCGAAAAAAGTTAATCAAAATATGACTTGGAACGCATGAAAAATATTCAGATTCGTCCTTTGGACCAAAAATCCTCCGAACCAGGTTCCTTGGATTCCACTTTTTGTGAACATTATAATAATTTGAATGTTTTCAGACTGAATTTGGAAAAATTGCCGTAAACATTTGTTATGGCCGCCATCATCCGCTCAACTGGTTAGGATTCAAACTAAATGGTGCTGAAATTGTTTTCAACCCGTCGGCAACAGTAAGTGCAAGTCAATTCAAACGTATTCATGATATCGTGCTGATCAAAAAACTGGTAATTTTCAGGTTGGTGATTTGAGTGAGCCGATCTGGGGAATAGAGGCACGGAACGCGGCAGTAGCAAACACTTACTTCACTTGTGCTATCAACCGAGTAGGTACTGAGACTTTCAAAAACGAGTTTTCAAGTGGAAATGGATTGCCAGCGCATAAAGATTTTGGACATTTTTATGGTTCTAGTTATGTAGCGGCTCCAGATGGATCCAGAAGTCCAGTGAGTTGAATATTTTCTTGAATATAATATGAATAGCCAACTTGGCAAGCAATACGGTCGACAAGAGGAAATGCAATACAAATTATAACTGAGTCAACCAAGAATCCGTATTTCAAAGATGATTAAGGGACTCAGTTGACAAAGTTTCAATCACCTTTATAATATACCTACTAGTACTATGTTGCTGTATCGCTGTTCTTCCAGTGTTTTGACAGAATCAGAATCAACGAACTTAGGCATGCGCAACGTTATAGAATAGTGCTTTCAAAAAATTGTTCTACGGCGCCATCTAGTGGCTAGCTACAGAAAAATTGATAGCCTAAAAACCTCTATGAAAAATCACTTATAGATGTCAAGTTTCATCACGATCGGTTGAGCGATGTAGAAGTTTATCACTTACCAACCAACCAACAAACATCCATTTTTATATATTAGATTCGGTATTCGTTGGATAATACAGGCCAATATTTGAAAATATATGTCAACACTAAGTGATAGTGTTGAAATACAAAACTACAATGCAATCTTCCTCAAACTAGAAAAAAATATATAATTTACAACCATTTCATACTCTAGTTATAATGTTTTTATTACCACATCTGAAAACAGTCGAATGGAACCTGAAATACCAAACATTTCGTATGTTATTGCGGTAGGCTTCATCATTAGTATGTGCGTCGACTACGAGGATGAAGGTTATATCTCGAACTCTCAGCAACGATTGAACCACTGAGATTTCAAGATATAACTTTTGTACTCGCAGTCAATGCACATACCACTGATGCTGTTTTTCGCAGTAACAGGCAAAACTTCTCTTTTGTCATTAACAGACCGAGGTCTGTTCAAAAAGTAGGACAAATGTTCAAATTTCGCGGGTCACGCAATTTTTTTATGTTGGTACACTCGTCTCGAACATATGTTCCACAGTGTCAGCTGTTTAGTTTATTGGTGAGAGGCATAAAAGTTAGAAGTGTTCTGCTTCTGCTATCGAAAGAATTAGATCAAAGAATTTGAATCAAACTTTGTGTAAAAAATGGAGTCAAGTCTCAGAAACACTTGAAGTGTCGACAGTGACAAACCGTGATTTTACTCTGAGTCAGTTAAATGTTTACAAATAGTACAAGCTTTTCAAAAAAGGTATTGTATTGTATTTATTTATTAAGTAGGCAAGCCTAATATACAAAAAAGAAAAATTACAAATTCATAAATATCTCACGACATTAACTATGTAAATATAGTAACATTTTAAAGTACCTTTCAAGGAAAACCAAATATACATACATATCTATAGATTATTAGATTAATTCACATTAAAAAATTTAAAAAAATTACAAATATCATAATGAGCTGTCACTAATATACTTCTTTAATGATGACTTAAATTGGTTTATTGAATTAGATTCTTTGATGTGTGTATATTAAGTTCAACTGTTAAAAAAATAACAAAATGTACTCATCTACGTCTTTTTTGTAATCTAAAAAATATTATTGCACAGATGTTTTGAAATTTATATGATACATTTTAGGGTCTTTCAAGAACAAAAAATGGTTTGCTGATAGCTGAACTAGACCTGAATCTTTGCAGACAAGTAGAAGATCGTTGGGGATTCAAGGTATGGAAAAATAAAACAAAGAATTATTACTCTTACTTTTTGTTTTTCAGATGACTCAAAGATTGGATCTGTATGCTGATTTGTTGAAGAAAACTATAGGTGAAGATTTCAAACCTCAAATCGTCAAAAAAAAGGCTATTTAGAACACAGCATCCATAACAATCAAAAATATTCAACATTCTGAATATGTTTCGGTCAGAAATAAAAAAAAACATTAAATTTGGATTTTTATTACGATTTTTTTTCTTAACATAATACATATAATTCCTTCTTGTAAGAAAATAATACAACTCGAAAAAATAATACAAACAAGAGTTGAGTTATTTAGAATTTCCGACTACAGAGAAGTCATTTCATGACCATATATTTCTTTTTGGCAGCATGATGAGAGAAGGAGTTATTAACAAGGTCATGGATATAACACCAAAATAAAAACGTCGGTAGAAATAAATTACTTCAATTTCTAATGAGTGATAAATTTATAACAATTCTATATATTTTGAGTTTGTACTAAAATTACTGAATTGTGACCAAAAAATCCGTCGCATAAGCATCGCTCAGGAATTGTTGAATGACGTCAACGGCGATCCAGATTTGCTTTAAAGGGTCATAACTGGTGACAAATCTTGGGTATATGGTTATGACATCGAAACCAAAGTCCAGTCCTCCCTATGGAAGAGCTCAGGAGAACCAAGACCAAAAAAAGCACAAGTTCGATTAAATGTCAAGGTTTTGCACTGTTTTCTTCGATAACCGTGGTGTAGTGCATCAGGACTTCTTTCCACATGGTCGTATGGTCAATAAGAAGTATTATCTGAAATTACGCGCCGCTTGCGAGAAGCAATACGAAGAAAACATCCGGTAACGTGGAAAAACAATTCATGACTTTTGCATCCCGATAATGCATCGTAATCATGTCTCAGCCACTGTATTCACCAAATTTGGCCCCAGCGACTTTTTCCTGTTTCCAAGATTGAAGAGACTCGTGACAGGATAGCGTTTTGTGACAATTGAGGAGGAAAAACTGAATCGCTGAGCAATGACATACCAAAAAGTGCATATCAGAACTGCTTGTAGGATTGGAAATAAAGTTGGCACAATTTTATTATGAAGTAAATAATTAAAATTCACCTAATTTTTTGAACAGACTTTTCTTTTAGGCATTATGAGCGCCAACGAATATAGATCATTTCAATCGATAAATTTGATAGATTCTTCATGAACATACTGATCATTTCGTGCTTAATATACACACATCGGAAAAGCCTAGGGATATTTTTAAAAATGGCAATAATTTTTTTTAGATCGCTTTAGGGAAAAAAAGTTGACGGGCGATTATTAAACGAATGTAACTAACAACAAAATTTATTAAATGGTCAAAAATACTGAGTGCGCATATAAGCAAAACTAAAAAAAAATATGGCTCTTCTTTGGCACCCCGAAAAAAAATCATAATACAAAAAAAATTGGAATCAGTACAAAGTATGGCCTCCACGCTGGTTTATTACGGCCCTACATCTATCGTGCATCGACAAAATGAGATTGTCAATGTCTT